ATCAACATTTAATCAGTAAATATTTAAAACCACAAAGTGAATTTGTGAAGCAGGTACAGTACACTTATTTCTTTAAGGAAGCCTGCTCTGTTACGCAAGTTCTGTAAATTTATGACCTGGTTCAGCGATAAAATGCAATCACAAAACTGGTTTAAAAGGAGGTTCTAGCTCCCAGCCGGCACTTGAAGAGTTGAAAATGGGTAATTGTAGACCGTCTAAAGGTCTTAAAAGTGCTGAACACTGTATGGAGAGTGGGTATACACAGTTTTGTCCTGTGTTTGTGCAGAACCTAAATTCAGAGTTTCCTCACTCAGAGGTGTAGCGTAAACATGACGATGGGCCGAGACACAGGTATCTGGAGTGTCTCGTCATCTGGTGGAGAGCTCTCATCAGAGGCAGTGAGTAAACACCAGCCTTTTTGGTCTTTATTTGGTCACTTTGCTGAGCTTTCAGCAGACTAACTGCAGGCTGTCCTCAAACTTCAGCAGGTCCGGCCAATGCAGTCACTGGATCTTTAAATGTTTGCAGGACCTGTGACGTATTCAGTAGGATGCTATTGTTGCCCTCAAGGAAAAGGTCATGCATGTTCATGCGTCAAGCATGAGGCTTTACACTCCCTTTCCACAGTTTGACCCTACTGCTGGCTTCCGTGTCCTGCATCAAGCGCTACGGACTAAACCAAAAAACCACATCTGACGCTGCTTTTTTCCTCCCCTTTCTTTTGGGTTTCTGTTTCTGTCTCACTTCCTTTCTATCAGTTCTCCTTCACAAGTAGGACATTGAATTGGATTTAAATTGTCCTCCCTCTGGAGGCGACAAACGGCTAGCATCTGCTTTAGCTGACCCTGTGTAAAGATCAACTTCCTGAGATGTCAATGGGGCCTGTAGTGATGCATTCAGTGGGGATGGTGGGGGGCTATCCTCTAATCGTTACTGGCCCCTCTTTCATTTTTTTGAGGTCGCAAGATGTTTTCTCTAAGGGACTGAAACATCTCCCACGCAAAGGAAGGTTGCATTTCCCCTGAAGAGAGAGCACGATATCAGGAAATGTTAAGTCTTTACTACAAAGTGAGTTTAAACAAATGCCAGCACTCCTCATAAAATACACGTATGCCTGCTGATTTGTCTTGATGTGACATTTGACCCCTTCTGTCTTCCAGAATATCAAGCAGACAGAAAATATAAGAGCAGGAAGTAAGAGCTGAATGCATTGAAAGAATGAAGGAAGTGTCTTTCCTCCAATCATTGACTGATTGCAGGCTTTAAGAGATTTATGTTTCCCTAAAGTCTGAAGGTTTGGGAGCTGGTAAGAAAAAGCGACCCAAAGAAGCTTTAAATCAATAAATCAGTGTTTGTGATTCGTCATAGCACCATCCTTTTAGCATTTACTGGCATAGATATGGAAGAGAGTTAACCATGTTTTTCCTTTAAAAATGTATTTCATCTTGTTTCATCAGTTATGTAAGATTCTTAGTCGTAATACTGTTGACTTGGAGAGAGAAATAAACAAGTCCTGTCACTTAGCATTGTTACTTCCTTTTAATCGTGTATAAGTTTTCAGATAATGTGATCACCAGACTCTGGACACAGCGTAATTGAATTTCTGGTAGTGAATGAGAGGAAGAGAAAACAGCAGGACTGTTTCTGCCATCTGTGGAAAGGTATAAAGCATGATGATTTAGATCTACAGTGGATGACTGCTGGGCCAAAAGAAACCATCAGATGGGCTTTAGTAGTTATTGCTTTGCGTGGTTTGAATTTGTGGACAGTTAAATCCTGACATGAAAATGAAACTTCTAAATGGACATTTGTGGCTGAGTGTGCAATATTTCATTTGAATTTTTTTCCCCAAATGTTTTCTTCTTTTTGTTACGACATTGTACATGAGATTTCTTTCTTTAATGGTTTTTGTAAATTTTGTGGTAGTTTCAGTTTTGTACCTACTGAATTTAAACCTCTTTTATCTCTCAAACTAATGTTTTTTTTATAGCTGACTCGTGCCAAAATGTATGTTGTTAACATGGTGTAACTTATGGTTTTGCTGAGAGACTCTGTTATTTCAAAGCGCTGGTGATTATGCACATATATGAATACCTCATGTGAGAAGTTATACTAATCTAAGGAATAGAAACAGGAAAATTAGAATGTGCGGTAGGAATGTTACGTGGGAACATTCAAGTACCCTTTACCTTGAAATAATTGTTGAGACCTTACAAATTCTTTCTCTTACACAACTGTGATGTTGTCACATTGGAAAAACCTGACTTCAGAAGCTTTTCCCATACCTGCCACTTTCTTAACACAAGTGAGACATAAATTGTGAATTTAGTTTTTTGTCCAATGACTTATTGCCAATTACATGCAAAAATCTTATTTTCTGCATTTATACAGATCCTGTAGCCTCAAGAAACAAATATCTACCCACACACCCTTGACTTCCAATGCTAGTCCCCATGTAAACATTCAAAGAATGAATGCAACCGCACTGTGCAACAAGCTTAGATGACTAATGATCGGATTTATCAAGTCTTTTGTGGAGCTCTTTTCTGGGTGCTGATCAGCACAGCTCAGCCTAGGCAGTGTTGGGTAGTGCACACGATATTGCATGCTTGTGCACACACCCACACACACACACACGCACACATATGTATGTGTGCAATATGGAGATATGCCAGAGCAGCCACTCCTTGCTCTTAGTTACCTCCTGGACATTTTGTGACGACAGTACAGCTGGAGTAAGTGAAGCAATCGGTAATTTGTCTTTTGTCACATTATCAGTTACGTCATTGAAAACTCCACCCTCGCCCCCACATTTTAGCAGTACATCCACTTCAGTATATTTGAGTCAAGAGCTAGGTCTCCCAGTGAGTAAACCTTGTTTCATTCACCGTGTGTTGCTCATCTAAACTTCCGTGAAGGTAAAATCTAAATTGAGCAAACTTCCGTGACACATTCAGCTCAGATATCTGAGTCCATTTCGTTCTAAGATGAAAAAATGATTAATCTATCTCTCAAATCTGTTTTGTTTTGTGCTGCAACACAACAAGGAAGTCAGTAAATGGCTGCTGACTATCAGGTCGTTCAACACCTGCAACAGAGTTGTGAAATCAACAACTGGACAGGCTCTGTGTTTACTGTGGCTGTACGCCTGCGCTTCAGCAATAAACCTTTTTTTTTTTCTTTGTCCTTGTTCAGGACTCAAAGTGTGAGCTTTCAGGGAGAGGAAGTTTGTTCCACCTTTAGACACCTGTCCCTTCTGGCCTTTACTGCTTACCATAACTGTCAAAGGTGCAATACTTTCGAATTGGATGCAAACAGCATTGGAAGTTATACTATTGAATTTGGCTTGGCAGCAAATACATACATTCTTCTCAAAACATGCATTAGCAAAGTCAGTTGGGATTACCAATTTTTTAGTTCTCACAGCTTTTAAATGAAAACATTTCTGGTTTGTTATAGTGTGGTTCTGCGGTCTGATGTAATTATGGGGATAATTACATCTCACATGGCTTCTCTAATTAGAACGGTCAACTTGCATTTGCTCATCTGCCTCTGTTGCCAAGGTGTTAGGCTGCTGGACCCCAGGGTCTGTGTCAGTGAGATCCCTCAGGGACAAATTAATGAGGAAGAAGAGGGCGGTGCATGACCAGCTGTTTGTGCCTAACTGTAACTGATTAGGTTGCTCTTGCTATATGAATATGTGTGAGTGAGTGAAATGGGAAGTGAAAGCAAGGGGATTCAGTGTTTATATGGCTATAAAAACTCCTGAAACAGTTCACATAATATTCTTTGAGTTGATAGTTCTGACGTGCTTTAGGAAAATACTTTAAAAGTTTTTTATCTGTTGTGAGGCGTGTCCGAGAATTTTGATTGTATGGTTTGACTGTCTTTGCCCTCAAGAGCCGACATGTTGAGGAATGCAAGTTAAACAAAACATTCCAGCAGTACTGTCCTCTCTAAGAACAAAAATACAACACCACGATGACAGTATATTTTTCAGGTTCTTGGCTTTTTTCAAACTAAAAATCAGCGGTCTTGACAATATGTGTGCATGCAGAGTGTTTACTTGTATCCATGGCTGTGCGTTCGATTAATGCCACAGTTATTCAAACAGCTGACTCCCTTGCTACCTGTCTAAACCTGTCGAACTAGCCCAGGACAAGCACACGCACTCTAGGATGGCATGTTCCACAAACATGGATATTCTGCTCCTAAAAACTACACGAATAAGTCTGTGTCCTCTCACCAGTTTTAGTGCCTGCCTCATCCTGATAATATATCATAAAAATCAAGACAGACTACTATCAGTGCACTCTTGTAATCCTTTTTAGATTAGTGTTGTTTATGTAAGTGAAAATTCAAATGTGGATCCCACAGTATTTGATTCAAGCCATTGTTATTTCACTATGTCTACAATTGATTCTAAAATTACATGTGATTGTGTTTGGCCTGTTGTTCATTATCATATTTAGGGATTTAAATTTCCCATAAGAGATGGTGTGAGTCACCAAACGTTTCTCTCTGAAATACCACAACTGGCCTACATATTCTGGTCACAGGGGTTGTTTGAACCATTCTGCTTTTCTGTGCAAAGATTTAGGCCTTTGCCAGAATAAACAGAGCCACAGCTCACTTTGACCCATGAGCCAGAACCTCCTTCGTCACTGATGATTTCTATCATATGTGCAACCCAGATCTGCTTTTTCTTTGTGCGAAAGCTGGAAAGTTATGACAGCGCAGCCCTAATGAACTTTTAGAGATAAAAATACAGAAACCCATAACTTCAGCTGGTGTGTTTCATAAGCAGTGAATGTGTATCTTTGATTTTTGATAATGAAATTACAAAATGTACAAATAAATCAAATTGAGGTCTAAGTTTACTGTGCTTAAAATAATGGCCGACAATGTGAAGATAAAATTCATACAATCCTTTTATGTGATTAACAGTTTATAACTTGGGAATAACATTTTTAAAGAGTGTTTTTTTGTCTTTCCTGCAGTATGCCAAGGTATAACAAACCGTCTAAACCTTCTTGGCTCTAAAGAAGATCACTACCTGAACATGGTTAAGACATTCAGCAACTGCACCGTGGTGCTGGAGAACCTGGAGATCACCTACATGGAGGAGCACCATGACCTGTCCTTTCTTAGGGTAAAGATTTTTTCAATTTTCCAGAAAGTCTGTTCTTAATCTTTGTTGACTTGGTTTAGTGAGTCAAAAACGAGAATGAGAATCTTCAGCGTTTATGATGCTCGGGTTGAAATGTTGCCGAAAGCTCAGCTGTCGCTACATGGTTCTGAGCACTGGGCAGATGTGATAAAAGACCACACACACTCTTGCTGAGGCCACACAAACACAGAGTAACATACAGTCAGCAGATATGATGCAGCAGTTTGGATTTTCCATTGAAAATTAGGGGACTTTTTCGCTCATCCTGTTCCAGTTAACTTCAGTGTTCTCTCTTTGTAACACCTTCCATGATATCTAAAACTCAATTAGAGACTATTAGATTTTTTTTAACCCTTTCTCACTGTGCATGATTATGTAATACTGTGCTTGTCTATCCTTTTAGGCTGTTAGGTTGTAGATTGTGTGCAACCTTTGAGGAAGAATTGCAAGTGAAGAAAGATTGAAACAGTGCTCTGTTTGCCAGTATTCAGCATATGAATGTATATTATCTTCATTGGGATTGATTGATTCAGACTCCTTTGCTCTCCGTAGTCTATCACAGAAGTGGGTGGTTATGTCCTGATTGCCCTCAACACGGCCTCCAGGATTCCTCTGGAGAACCTGCGCATCATTCGGGGTCATTCCCTCTATGAAGGGACGTTTGCACTTGCTGCGCTCGCCAATTATGACAAGAGCACAGGTCTGGGCACCACTGAGCTCCTGCTGACCAGCCTGACCGGTAGGTGCAGCCCATAATGGCCGAGTCCTACACAGCCAAAAGCATCCGAATATCACAATATTATTAAACTTTTTTACAGTTAAAGGCACATCTGCTCTGTTTTAATGGATTCATTCTACCCATTACTTGGCAGAAATCATTAAGGGAGGTGTAAAGTTTGGGAACAACAAGTTATGCAACGTGGAAACAATACAATGGTATGACATTGTCAATGGCGACGCCAAACCCACAATGGAGTTACCAGTGGCGAGCGACAACTCGCTGTGTAAGTGTTTCTCTGGAAGAATGCGTCAATATGTTTGTTGATTTGTGTTTTGAAAGGAGACAGTTTTCAAATTTTCTGTTTTTCTGCCTTTACAGGTAGGAAATGTCCCTCGAGCTGTCACAACGGTTCATGTTGGACGCCACAACACTGTCAGACCTGTAAGTTCTCATCTGTCTTTCAGTCATTTATCTCAGACTTATGAAAAGCAATAATGACATTAACAAGTGTTGTTCATGGACAGTTTTCCTACTTATTTGAATTATTATTTATCATATTAACTGCACACAAACAGTAAAGGTAGACTGAATTATTTTTTACTTAGCTCTATCTTTATTTGAAAAACGTTTGTGTCGTGCAAACCTTTCACATTGTCTCAGAATCAAAAGGAAACAAAAAACTTCCTTCTGCTGGTCCACTGAACCTGTGCTGCTTTCGTCTTTAGTAACCAAACTGAACTGTGCACAGCAGTGTTCTAAGAGATGCAAAGGACCTTCTCCAATCGACTGTTGCAACGAGCATTGTGCAGCAGGGTGCACAGGACCCAGGCCCACCGACTGTCTGGTGAGACAAAGACATCCTCTTAAGCTTGACAGGAGAAACGAGCGCGCTGAATATTACGAACCAATCCATTAAATCCAGCTGAGAAGTCTCCTATAAAACAAATCTCTCACTCAGCAGCATCTGCTTTTATGATCAGAGGTTTTGTTATTAGTTTTAGAACAAGTAGGACACGCAACTGCTGATTAAATCTTTTATTTGGCAGGGTATCAGCCTCTGCTCTCTCTCTCCATGCAGCTTTAAGAATAAAGCCAAGGCTGCAAAAGAGGAATGCAGTGTTATCATAAGCGAGGGGCTCTGTTTTGGTCCCAGCGCACTAGATGACTGTTGTTTGTGCTACAGGCCTGTCGGGACTTTCAGGATGACGGGGTGTGTAAGAACACCTGTCCGCCCCTCATGCTGTACGATCCGAACCAGCACACCCTGGTTCCCAACCCGCATGGAAAGTACAGCTTCGGAGCCACCTGTGTGAAAAGTTGCCCATGTAAGAAAGACCACAAACGCAGAGATTCTTTCTCCTTTTCAGGGATTAATGCTTCTGTCCTTCCAGAGAAACATAGGCAATAGCTTATTCTCACTGTGTGCTACACCGAAGACGTGCTCAGTTTGTCCTTCAGAGTCAGACTTTCAGAGGTCACAGTCTGTTCAAGTTTAATTATAAACTTTATAAACAGGGCAAGAAAATGATTGAATTTAAGGATAGGTTAATGCAACATCTTGTCATTGTAAGTTTAACTCACCCTGCATTACTGACTGATCTGACCTGATATGTATTATTTAAAACTTCTCACAGTGGTTGTACAAGTAATGCAAGTAGTTATTGCTCAAATGTGAATTTGTATATTGTTTTTGTTTTTTTCCTGTGTACAGTTACTTTGTAATTCTCAGCCTTTGCATGATGAATATGATATAATCATGAAGTGACAGCTCACATTTTACAATCCCTCTAGATAATTATGTTGTGACTGATCACGGAGCGTGTGTGCGGACGTGCAGCGGGAACACATACGAAGTGGATGAAGGAAAAAACAGAAAGTGTGCCAAGTGCGACGGGCTGTGTCCAAAAGGTTGGAGGCTAAGCAGTTGGTTCTGCTATTAAAAATATATATATCAACGTTGTTGAATAATAAAACGATAATTAAATTTTGAGGTGTTTTCCCCATCGAAACATTTATATCAGTGAGCAAAGCAATCAGTATTATTTTCAAACGTGGTTGAATTCTTTTCTCATTGACAGTGTGCAATGGACTTGGAGCAGGAGACCTGATCAACACCCTGTCTATTAACGCCACTAACATCGATTCATTTAAAAACTGCACCAAAATCAATGGCAACATTGCTATCATGCATACATCCATTTATGGGTAATTCAATTATATGAACAGTGCTAACTTGCCAATAAAAAAAATAAAAGCAACAGATTATTTAGTCTTTGCCATTAACGTGTTTACTTACTTGCAGGGATAAATTTACCAAGACGCCAAAGATGGATCCTGCCAAGCTGGATGTGTTTAAAACAGTGAAAGAAATCACTGGTGAGGTCATAGAAGACATGAGTGCCGGTAATATGTCGGACGCTATACACACTGTGAAGCTCTACAATTAACGGACCATTTGTTACTTTAGGATACTTGTGGATTCAAACATGGCCGACGGACATGAGGTCACTCAGCCCCTTTGAGAATCTGGAGATAATTCGAGGAAGAATGAAACGGTATGTACCTTGTAAACACCCTCTGTAGATTTCCACGTGCTAGTTCACAAGGAAGAAATGTGTGTCTGGAGAGTTGTTACCCAAACAGTCATAAAAAATGTTTTCTCTCCATTTTGTCTTCCTGTTCCACCTTTCTCTTGTGCAGTGGTAGCCGAAGCGTTGTTATGACTCAGCTTGAAATTGACTACCTGGGGCTTCGGTCCCTGAAGGAAATCAGTGATGGAGACGTGGGCATCATCAAGAACAAGAACCTCTGCTACACGAACAAACGGCATTGGAGCCAGCTCTTCAAATCAAAAAGCCAAAGCGCAAATTTAGACGACAATGCCGATGCTGACGTGTGTGGTAAGTTCAGTTTCCCACAGTGAATTCAGTGAGATCCCTGCTGCTTATGAAATATTTGCTTAAGCAATCGACAAGTTCATTTCAAAATGGGATAATTACCTATTGCTTTGCTTAAATTTGTGTGTCTGGTTTCAGCTCTGAAGAACAACACATGTGACAGAAAGTGCACCGCAGACGGCTGCTGGGGCCCAGGCCCAGACATGTGTTTCGCCTGTAGAGACTACAGCCGGGATGGAAGCTGTGTTGACTCCTGTAACATCCTGGATGGGTAAGGGAGGAATTTGGTACTGCTTGCCTTTTTAAACCCTGAAATGCTCCGCTCTTTATTTTAGACTCACAGTCTGAGCATCAGGTCTTTGTGTTCAGCAGTTAATTCCTCTAAAGTCTGTTTTCATGCTCTGAACCAGACTGTGTCACTAGATGAGTCTGGAGATTATTGAAAGAAAGGCTGAGATCCAATGCATTTTGGAGTTAAATCTCTAGTTGATAGAGGACAAACATTGTTGGAGACAATGAAAATACACACACATCTGTTTATCTTTGGAGACCTTTGTCAAACATTGAATCTTGACACGCTTACACTTTAACGTCTGCCCCCCCAAACTAGGAATGTGGACTCTTTACTTCACATGTAAGTGTTTGAAAGCGAAGTTGTCCTGAAGAGAGCCTGTAGACATATTTATTGTTTTTTGCAGTGACCCACGGGAGGCAGTTGTGAACAACATCTGTGTGGCGTGTCACCCAGAGTGTCAACGCCTGAATGGGACCGCAACCTGCAGGGAGCCTGTACGTTTGTCACCGAAACCTGTTTCATTAACCTGATGTCTGGACAGCTCAGCGCTTATGCACATCTACATACTTCCCTGCTGTGTCAGTGTTAAAGATTTCTCCATCAGCAGCAGCCATAATGGAGTTTAATGCAGGCCAACCACAAGACATGTTATGTTTTGAATAATGGGTGTGGCTGTGCAATGAAGTTGACTAACTGTGCTCTTTTTGTACTTTTTGTACTTATTATCCCATCTCTGATTTACACATGTTCACAGCCCTTTTTTTATAGATGGCTGGTAACAAAAACAGAAAGGGTTGAGAAGCACTTATTAACGGTATTAAAGTGTTAAGTTACAGCTTTTGTGTGCAGACGCTGTTTAGGAGAGCAGAACTGCAAATTAAAAACATCAAACATGTCTAAATGGGTTTGCACTGCCAAGTATAAGTTGCTTAATGGGGAAGATGGACACCGCTTGCTTTGAGAAATTATAACTATGAGATGGTGTTAGTTACAAAATATTTATAACTGCTCTCAGTGGAGTTGTAAACATCACAAGTCTTTCTCCCCTGCAGGGCCCTGAAAACTGTACAAAGTGTGCCAACTTTCAAGATGGACTGTTCTGTGTGTCCCGCTGTCCGCAAGGAGTGCCAGGGGAGGATGACACCGTTGTGTGGAAATTCGCTGATGAGAAGAGAGTGTGCCAGCTATGCCACAAAAACTGCACTCAAGGGTAAACACGGTCAAGAGAAGAAAACTGGCAATGCATTTCTACGTTGCAAACATCTGCCTTTTCCTAACACTTATACAGAGAGGCAGGTTTTAGGGGTCAGCCGGGGTTCTGCTGGCACAGGCTCAGTTTAGAGATTTGACAAGTCCTTTTTTGCACGTATTTTTCCACGTACAACAAATAAGACATTTTACATTATTTATTCTTGCCACCACTGGTTTCCATTAACTTTAGTATTCAGTTTCAGTGGTCTGTCTTCTATTGTGGAAGAACACAATAATGATTCAAACAGAACTGAGACCAGACCAAATATTCCCAGTGATATACAGTCAACGTTGGACCATGGTGGTATACAAATGAGTGACCAGGGAAATGGTTCTGACATACCTCTGAACCACTGAAAGCAGTTATGTTGATGGGCCTCTGTAAATGTCTTATGTTACTTCTTACGAAGAAGAATATGAGACATGTTTCCATAACTTTTCAGTAGTTGGATTTTATAAATATATCATCGGGAAGCATGGAAATAAACATTTCCCAGCTAAACTCCATGATGGATGCATCCATTTAGAGTATTTAGTCATCTAGAAAACTAAAAAATTCAATGCTTTGACTGGCACAGAAAGAATTGAGTAAGTAAGGAAATGAGGATCTATGGCAACAGTGATTAGTTTTTAATGGTCAATGATTGCCACGCATTGTTTAAATTCACAGAAAAACTATTGCCTGAATTTAAACTGGTGCGTTTTGCTGAATAAAAGAGTGTACTTTTTTTTTTTTTTAAAGGTGTTCGGGACCTGGTCTTGAAGGGTGTAACATTAAAAAGTAAGTACATCTCTGTTAATAAACTTCTTTGCATTTTGCACTTCTTTTTATTTAATATCTGCATGAATTTAATTTGTTTACGAAAAGAAATGACATTCTGTTCAGAGCAAAGAGTTAAAACTCATCTGGAGTGATCAATAGAAATAGAGGTACAAAAAATGTTTTGTTGCAGCTATTTGCTTCTCAAGCAGGTAACATGAGACACAGACACGAGAACAAAGGCGCTCATTTTTTGCCTTTAACTTAACCCATAAGAACCCACAGTGACACAGGTGTAACAGCCTATTTAAACTGAAATACTTTTATTAGAAGTGGCCTGTGGAACTTCTGGAAATCACAGATCTTTGAACTTGATTTTTTTTAATGTGATAAATGGGTTTCATTTGGTTAGTTTTCTTCTCCCTATTATTTCTCTTTAGGGAAAAATGGGTTTAGGCACTTATGGGTTAAAGCGATATATGACTGCATGTTATCATTTAGGTTGTCTTTATCTGTATTTTGAACCTGTGAAAATCTGACGTTTAAAGCTTTGCAAAGATATGAAAGTCCTGAAATGTGTTTTAACTTGGCTTCAGCAAAATGGTCAAATGTTGTGTCTCTGTCACTGTTGGATGTTTCTGTTCTTAAATGAGCTCCCTGTTTTCCAGAACCTCAGGTCTGTCCATGATTGCGGCCGGTGTAGTCGGTGGGCTGCTGGCTGTTCTTGTTGCCGGCCTGTCGGTCTTTGTGTTGCTACGCCGACGCCACATCAAGAGGAAGAGAACCATGCGCAGACTGCTGCAAGAGAGAGAGGTGTGTTCACAAAACTTGCTGGGAACCACTAAGAGGCAAACTTGCTGTTTTTAAAACATTTTTTAAGACTTTTTCTTTTCTTTTTGGCAGCTGGTTGAACCTCTCACTCCGAGTGGACAAGCACCAAACCAGGCTCTTCTGCGGATCCTTAAGGAACCTGAATTTAAGAAGCTGAAAGTGCTGGGATCAGGAGCTTTTGGGACTGTTTACAAGGTAATTACCGGCCTCAGGTTTGCATTTAAAAGCACCTCACAGTGAAAAAAGAAGACTCCAGCTTTGCTAAAGCTAGAGCTCTGTAGCGCTGAGTGTGCAAAATCTACACCACTGGGTGTTTTCACTCATCTACATATGTTGTTCATTTTTCAATTACGAGACAAGTCAAACTTTGGCTGCACAGCGGGTTGGTGGTTGTCACTGTCACCCATGAGTTTGCATGTTCTTCACAATTATGCACGGGCTCTCTCTGCATACTCCGCCTTTCTCCCACAGTCCAAAAGCATGCAGGTTAGGAAATTGTTGACTCTGGAATGACCTCGAGAGTGAGTGCAAGCATGCGTGGTTGTTTGTCTCCATGTGGCCCTGTGATGGGCTGGCACTGTCTGGGATGTGCCCCACATTATAAATATCTGTGCTTTTTAGAAATGATTTTAGTTTTAGATCTCGTTAGTTAGATTTTTTTTTTTCAAGTCACTGACTATAAACTGACTGAATGTTGCACTGGACAAATGCATGCATACAAAATGTATTACCGTATTGTTCTGACACACTTGGTGAGCTTGTGTTTTATTATACGTCTCATTTTCAAGTCTGTCAAATTAAAACACTGGTGTTTTTACAGGGTCTGTGGGTCCCCGAGGGAGAAGATGTGAAAATTCCTGTGGCCATCAAGGTTTTGAGAGAGGCAACATCACCGAAAGCAAACAAGGAAATCTTGGATGTAGGTTCACTGATTAATCTTGATTCTGGTTCACATGTTTATTGTAAAACTGAGTCAGAGCTACAATGGCCATTCATTTAAGAGGTTGTTTCCCCGCATATTTTTTGTAAAGAGTTAGCTGCATGTTGAATGTGAGAGTGGAAATATAAAGTTAGAACTGTTTTGTATATTATTAGCATGCACAACAATGTTTTCACCTGATCGCAAAGTGTGAGTGTCAGTTGTTTCCTCCCAGATGTCAGCTTAACTCTAATATATCCTGTAATTTATAGCACACGGGACATTGTTTTAAATGACTGAGCTGTTCTTTGCCTTGCATTGGGGACTGTGTCGTGTTACATAGTTACTGTGTGGGAAATGAGATTAATTCATTAAAGGGTCAGCGTGTAGGCGTTGGTGTGTAATCTGAGGCTGAGGTGCCTGGAAAAGAATGCGGGCCTGAAGCCGGAGGCCTGTTCTAAATGTATCTTTGAAGCAGACACATGTGCATCTCGGATCCTGTGATTTTGTGGCTCTGCTGCTCTCTCGCTGCTTGTTGGCTTACGGGACACTTAGGTCCCGTAAGCCTCCTGACTTATGGGCAAGCTTGCACTAAAAAAACACCACAAAAAACACTTCTCTTTCATCTCAGTGTCTGGATGACTGAACTCCAAGTAAAGGGGTTTTTTACTGAAAAATGTTGATACTGCAAAACTCGTGAAGGAACATTATGGTTCGCATGTAGTACACCCCTGACAGGAAACAGCACTAAGTAAAGCTCAGTCTAAAGTTCTGTTTGCTTAGTACTCCTTGAAAGAAGATTTTTTTTCCTTGGCCAGGGTGATCATTCCTGTTTTTTCTTTCTTTCTTTTTTCTCCATGACTGTTTTTTCCATTCGCAGGCAATAAAATAGAGATAGCTGCTTACAGTTGCTGTTGAGAAACGTATCAGTCAGCCCAGACAACTGTACACAAATTGTGAATATGGAAATATTACTGCAAGGCAAATTTACAGACCAATTCTTTATTAATTTATTTTCATTCATTGTGTTGTATTTATGTGTTTTAGAACAAAGTTGGGCAGGCCAAAAAGCAAGGAACAATCAAAAAAAGAAAAACCATTCACTGTTGTGTGCGTTTCTTGTTTTTCTGTTTAGGAGGCTTATGTGATGGCCAGTGTGGAGCACCCCCATGTATGTCGTCTGCTTGGCATCTGTCTGACCTCAACAGTGCAGCTCATCACGCAGCTGATGCCCTACGGCTGCCTGCTGGACTACGTGAGAGAGAACAAGGACAGTATCGGCTCACAGCACCTGCTCAACTGGTGTGTGCAGATAGCCAAGGTAAGAGAGAGGGAGAACACAGAGAACACTCTGAGGAATTTCAAATTCTCTGATGTCAACTCACTGTATTCCATCCATTTATGGCTTTTTTTTTAAATAATTATCGTTTCTACAGTGCAGGTTATGTTTCTTTTAACACTTAATACAAAGAACAGCATGTTACATTCTGTCTGACTTTACAGCCCGTCCAGACTAATCAAACAATTATTCAGAGCTCTTCTGTTTTATAACAACCTGCACTGCATTGTTTGTTTGACATCAGGGTATGAACTACCTGGAGGAACGCCACTTGGTGCATCGTGACTTGGCGGCCAGAAACGTCCTGGTGAAAACTCCTCAACATGTTAAAATCACCGATTTTGGCCTGGCCAAACTCCTGAATGCAGATGAGAAAGAGTACCACGCTGATGGAGGAAAGGTTGGCTTGAGTTTATTTTTTTACGTTACAAAACCGTTCAAAACAACTGTTCAATTTTTTAAGCATGGTTGCACAGTAAGGAAATTCAGCAGCAAAACCTCTTCAGTTATTTTCAAACACAGGCACGTTGTGCTCAAAGCATCCTGTTATCCATCCAAGCATCCATTTGTTATCCAAGGGGCAATTTAAAGTGTTACTGTTTTATTTAAAAAAACATCTGTTTACCGTGATATTTCTTGATTATCTCATCTGAACTCCATTATTCCAATATAGTCCATATATTCTGAACATAAATTGCCAGGATGTTGTAACATAATCTTGTTTTTGCCCCAGATGTCTGTATTACCAGTTGAAACCATAGGTCAGATTTGAAGTTGGGCTAGAATGTTAAAATAAATCTGTGCAAAGTTGTATTTCATAATAAAAAATAGATCACTGCTGTTGAATAAAGTGGATCCAAGATTTCATGTCTTCAGTAGAAATTGAAAGCTAAGAGTTACAGTGACACAGTGACAGCATTCAACGGCCAATCAGCAAACTATATTTCAGAGAAATGTTGCGTAATGAAACTTGTCACCACTGGGTGACAGTACAGTTACATCTGTGGTGTACCTAGTGTCAAACATGTACTAAATGTGGCACAGACTCTAAAAGATCTTAATTTAAGCAAGTGCTACATTACTTTCCTGAAAGAGACCTTATTGGAGTCTATGTCATTGAGGTATGGACTGAAGTATTGCGGCTTTTAAGAGGCTGTTACAGATAGTGCTCTTAACAAAATAATTTAAGAGTGCAGACTCTGTGCGCTAATTGTTATCAGACATCGCTTTGTCTGACTGTGATAGCAACCCTGTAAACGCAGATATCTTATATGTTGATGATAAGGCAATACAACCATGTAAACATGTATTCAAGCCCAGAAAGCTTGCTCAATATGATATTGTAATATCTGTATGTTCGGATTTTCTACAGGTGCCAATAAAATGGATGGCTCTCGAATCTATCCTGAACAGAACTTACACTCATCAGAGTGATGTCTGGAGTTATGGTAAGCTTTCATCTCTACTTTCCTTTTAACTCTGGAAGGTAGTACTGTGCTCACACTGTCCCAGGCTCGGCTCGAATCATTGTGTAACTTCAGATGTGTAAAACAGCTGAGTGTTGGTGACAGTCTCACGAGAGAAATATTTATTCATTGCTAAATAAAGTGTTTTCACAGAAAGCAAGGCAACGAGTGGACAGACGTTTTGCAGCTTTAGTGTGTTGTTGTTGGACCCAGCAAAGCAACTAACCATTTTTTTCAAGAATCAATAGAGAATACTATGCCAGAACCTGAAATGTTAGGAGGCAGGTAGCCCACACCTACACATTAGCTGAATTAGTTGGACAATTTCACATCAGGAGAGATTGTTTGCTCAACCCACTTAAGTAATGTCTTCCAGCTCAAGAGTGCATATGGAGATATGCCTACACACACACACACACACACACACACACAGAAACCAAACACAGCATAGTACAGCTTTTTTAGAGTGGGCTCGCTTCCAAATCTTCTTTTCCCGAGGGTTTGATTATGCCTTCTGCTCAATCTGGCAAAAGCATCAGCAGATCCTGGCAGAAGTCACAAGCTTCCTTTCCTTCCTTTTCCCTCTTCAGTCCCTCCAACACAGATATGCATCCTGCCGACTCCCACTACTGAAAGTAGAGCCAATTTGTCAACATTTTCATACAGTGTGATATTTGAGAGGCGTACATTCTGTCAGGCTCATTTCTTTCTCCTCTATCAGGAGCAAAACATAGTGAGTGACAGCTCATCAGACTGACATATACCAACTGCCTTTCTTCCTGTGATGTAGGTGTAACAGTTTGGGAGCTGATGACCTTTGGGACCAAACCATATGATGGGATTCCAGCCAGTGAAATAGCCGGAGTTCTGGAAAAAGGAGAACGTCTGCCTCAACCACCAATCTGTACCATAGACGTCTATATGATTATGGTGAAATGTAAGCTTTATGGATGACTATCCATAGATAGTCAAAATTAGATTTCAAAGTTGATCATTTCATCTTCCTATGTGTTTTTCTTCTTATCTAAAAAAGACACATCCAATTGAACAGCTTTGTTTTTTGGGCTTTGGCCACCTAAAAACAGACTTTAGATGAGTCCACACTGTCCGCTGCAGTTTCATGTTTGAATGCTTTTCACTGTTTTCTAACTTTGCATGACAAAAGTAGCTGTCAGTTACTGTCATTATTTTGTGTTTTTAATCCATTCAGAACATAAGGATATTTGTTTTTGTTTTTCTATCTCTTTTTCTCCTTTGTCCTCCTGCTGAAGACATCAAGACAGAATGTGAGAGTTTCTCATTTTGAGTCCCCATGATTGTTTCTGCTGATGTGTCTGTGCAGGCTGGATGATCGATGCAGACAGCAGGCCTCGTTTCCGGGAGCTAATTGCTGAGTTTACAAAGATGGCTCGAGATCCTTCCCGCTATCTCGTCATTCAGGTACCCAAAGTTTGACAAGTCCTTAAATCTGCAGTCAGTCTGACGTGGAACTGCAGTGATGTGTCCAATCGACAAAGCTCAGGGCAAATGTTTCATTCCAGGGTGATGATCGCATGCATCTACCGAGTCCCACAGATTCAACGTTCTATCGCAGCCTAATCAGTGGAGAGGATATGGAGGATGCTGTGGATGCAGATGAGTATCTGGTGCCACAGCATAGCTTTTTCAGCAGCCCGAGCACCTCCCATACTCCACTACTTCAGTCTGTGGTAAGCCCTCTCATGTTGACCATTCAGTGGAAAGCTTTGAATACTCACCTCTCATTAACATTTATGTTAGGGTTAGGGTTAGGATGCACTGATGGTAAAATTAGAGATCAATAATTCTATTGATGGTGAAGATGAAGATTGGCTCAATTGTCTCATTGGTGTTTGTGACATTCTTCTTCAATCAGACCATGGAAACAATTAAATATATATTACAAAAGTCAACTTAAAGATTTGGGATGTTTTAGCTTTTCGTGCTCTATATAAATATATCGAAAATACTTTGTTGTAAGCTTGTCTGTATAGAGAAAACCTACTCTAAAAAAGGTTGCACAACAATGACTTCCTCTGAAGCTTATGTACTTGCACATCCAAATCTTTTCTTTTTATTTCCAAAACATTAGATTAAAGCCGATATATCTGGTCCTCCGTATTTAAGAGCTGGAATAAATGTGCTGAAACATAACAAATTAAGCTAATGTACTATGTTGAACATTTACAGATGGCAGATCTGTCAATGTTACAGATAAACTCCCGCTTCTATGTGTGTTATTTCTACAAGATGGAGTAGCTTTCCTGTAAATTCGCTATAATATAGTTATTTCAGTGTTATGATGTATTCGAACGTCAAAGGTCCCTGAATGCTAATAGCTCCACTGAAGTGCCTGAAAACAGTCCTGACAAAGACAAAACACCTCAGAATAGTTAGATCAACAAATGTCTCAACCATTTGGTAGAAGCCAAATAGGGAGCACTGATAGAAGAAGTAACTGTTTCTACAGTTATGCTGCAATAAGCAGCACTGTGCACTTTGTCTTTCTGTCCATCACAATTTCCTTCAGGTTTTATTAAAAATCTGAGACCCACAGCCAAAATATAGTCTCAACATTCTCTTGCGGTGAGCTTTGAGCAAGTTTGATAAACAAAAACATGTGGAATGATTACACCATTATCACAGAAACACTCCAGATTCCCTCACATGGACCATTTATGTCCAAACACTAGAGGAAAATTACAGCATTTCTTTCTTGAAGAAGCTGCATTAATTCGGGGACTAGAGGAGGAAATTGGAGCACATGCTTCAGCAGTGTACCCGTATGCAGTCGAGTGTTTGAAAATTTAATAGCTCTATTTTAACAGTGTTTCGGGGAAATGGGATTTCTGCATAAATCATTATCCTGTAAGTCAGAATGGAAATAACACGTATTTTGGTCATCTTTTTGGCTGGCGGAAAAACGACTGCCTTTCACTGCAGTCAGCAGATGAGAAACCATCAGATTCTGAAATGACCATCAATGATTTCACGGTGCAGATCATTTAACGAGTGCCCGGCGTTACCTGGCCTGAACTCTGCGTACTGCAGCTGCCCCGACACTGACAAGTGTCCTGTCCTCACCTCGCCCACTCGCCGTCCTCCGTGAACCCCTCTCCTACGTTTCCTCCCAGTTGGCTTTTTGACTGATGAGAACTGAGGCCGTGCGTAGGTCCGGCTCTCCTACCTGAGCCAATGACGACGCGGTTTGCCAATATGGGCTTTCAAGTCTGATTATCTTTACAGGCCATCACAAGGACCCCAGTGAAAGCTCAGAACAGACATGCTTTTGTGATATCACGACTGGGGTGCAGCCCACTAGGGGTGGACAGTTTTTTTTTTCCACAGATGGTTGCCGCTGCAGCGTGTTCAATTTCCTTTTCTTGTTAAAAGTAATTGCATCGCCACAGCTGTCACTCTGCTCTGTGTATTTGCACACTTTTCACCGTTCGCAGTATTTTGACTAGAGTCTGACACAACATGGCTTGTTAGATTGCCTGACTGAGTCTGAATCTGCTTGGCGCACACTTATTTTGATCCTCATCAGTTTGTACTGAGCGTGACAGCTGTGTGTCTTCTTCTAGCATAAACATTAGTATTACATCTCAAAGGGCTAGCACTTTCCCCAGAGAGGTTTTAAAATAAAGCAAAACGCAATACACGTATATGTGAATGACAGAAATAAAGGATCAAGTACAAATGAACCATAACATTTACAACTTTTTGTGTTTCAGAGTATGAACAGCAGTATTGGGACATGTAACGGCAGAAATGGATTATTGGTAAGATTGAATTAAATCTTTTAAAAACATCCTTCTTTGGACTGAGCTGTTGCTTTTATATGAGCATGTGGGAATAAAAACACACTCTGTAATTTCTTACAGAATGGACTCCTGAGCAGAGACGGAAGCATGGTTCTCCGGTATATTCCAGACCCCACCGACAAACTTTTAGACAATGCCTTCCAGCCTTCTCCAGGTGAGTGTCTCTGACTCAGCCACGATAAATCTCATGAGATTTAGTCGCACATCCCTGTTTGAATCTTTGGGGAAAGGAGTCATCTAGTGGACAAAAATGATGCAGCTGTATTTGCTGCTGTTCCGTCCTATATACCTATGACATGTACTAACTGATGTTGTGTTTCTGAAAAATGATTTTACTGAGTCATTACTGTTAAAGTAAGAAGTCTAAAAGTTTTTCGAAGGGAATTCACCATAAAATGGAAACATTGCTTTGTAAGGCTTTGGTCATGTCAGAACACAGGCCATACGTGCGGTATCCATCAGTGTGTCACAATTCTGAGACCTTTAAAGTTCTGTTTGTGTTTGATCCCAGTATTACTAATTTTTTTGGAGCTTAAGTGTTTTCACAATATGTATGTGTATCTTGCTTGTGGTTTCAAAATACAGCACCATGTGGTGGTTAATTTACTGAATCTTAAGGGAAGAGTTAGTTACAGGGTTACTGTTAGGCAATGAATGATTTAAGGGGGAGTATATCAACACAAAATTAATTAAAGCCATGGACACACTGAGTATATTTGATTAAACACTTCCGTCTCTGTTTTTTTTAACTAAAGCTGCAGCATTGAGTTTATATTATTGATATATTGTTCCAATATTTAAAAGGGCAGATTTTCATATCATTACGCACCCATGTGAACATTTGTTTAGGTAGTGTTTATGTTTCACAAAATACAGTGTTAAGAATGTAAGTGCATGAAATGAAAATTCAAATACATAAAATCCACATAGAAGTGCCTCAATATTGTCTAAAAAATACGAAGAAACCTGGAATTTCATGTAAAAAATGCAGAAAAGTTGGAAAAGTGAAGTCTTGTCCATTGGATTACAACTTTGTCCAGATCTTGAGAGACAGATCTCAAGAAATAGAAAGACGTTTGGCATTATCCTGCTCCCCCAGGATCTATCCAAAATTACAACGTACACTTGTACATATGCATCAGTTGTACCTAATGTAGCTACATACCATCACATCACTTGTTAACTTTTTGGCTGGATGGTATTTCTTATCTTTGGGATCTACAGCCCGTTTCTGTCCGTCATAAATGAGCCTCTGCACAGACACCTCAGCATTGTTTCTATGCAAAGTACGTGTGGCTCATTCCGTGCGTAAACCAGTTTCATGTTACATTTCTATATGCAGTAACTGTGTGCGACAGTGTTTTGTGAAGGTCTTCCTGACCTCACGTACATTAGCATAGAAGCTTGTCATACGGCTCTAACTGAGGACCTGCTGTCCTTGGCCTGTGCACATTAAAATTTCAGCCTTCCAGGCTCCCCCTTTCCATATTGGTGAGCTCTCCTGGATGCTGAAAAGTCAATTAAACTGCTTCCTTGATTACTTTTAACAGTCATGCCTTGTTGCAGTATGTATTGGAGAATGTTGCCAGTTGCAGGGTTATTAAGTTGGTGAGTGTTGGTAACTTATCACATTGGTTGACTGAGGTTGCTGTGTAATTAAGCTCATAGGCTTTAAAATTTCATACAGGCAAAAGTCATGCTCATTTGAGTGTATCCATGGGCAAGTGGACTTGAAATGTTACATTCAAAGTAGTGCGTGACAACAGGATGCAGTGGTGTTAGTTTAGTGTCATTATGGGACCAAACACTAAAAACAGTTCACATCTTAAGAGAGCCAGGCATTAAGACAATAACTTTTGAGCAACTTTGGCTGAACATCTCTTATTAATGTTACCGGCTCTTTTGCAGACTACATGAACCAGAATGGAGTTCCCGATGTGATGAAACCTAACGGCCAACCTCGCACCCTACTTCCCACCATCTCATCAGACGATACAGAGACAGAGTACCTGAACTGCTTTAGAAATGGGAACAATGGACCCGAATACCTCAATGAGATCCCCTCCTCTGTCCTCTTCCCACCCGCCTCCAACAGCACAGGCATTCAAAAGTACCTCCCCCACAACAGCATAGACAACCCAGATTACCAGCAGGATTTCACTCCCACCTTCAAGACTCACACCAACGGACACATACCAGCAGCAGAGAATGTGGAGTATCTGGGCCCAGACTGAGGACGACATAAGACTCTTTTCTGCTCCATTAAAAGTGGAGTTTTCTATGGCTGGAAGCACATTGATAAGTGGTACCATCAGTTATCACGTATGTTGTTTTTCAGAGTCAGGTGACTCTGCTGATGAGGAAGAACTCTTTGGAATGACACACAAACTGCAATTGAGTTTCACCTGATGAAAATTGGTCAACAGCTAAGTTGGACATCACTTTAACGCTGAAGCTGGACTTGATAAACTTCAGCCTACTGATGTTACGCCTGCCAGATCTTTCAATATTACATTCAAAATGAAACAAAATAAATGTAATTGTGTGGGTGGAGGAAAGCTACTCCTCCATGTTAAAGTCCTACAAGGTAGAAACTGGCTGCCCAAGTCAAGGTCAAGCTAAGGTACAGGTATTTTTGCAGACCTGCTAGTTGGGAACACTTTTTGGGGGGAGGTCTAGAGGATTAAACGCCGTTTTAAAGCGTAAGAAGCTGGTGCACTTGTTGGATTCCTTTAAAAGCCCGACGACACTTATCCGGAAAGATGAGTCAAAGAGAAAACAAAAGCTGCAATGTGTAGAATGTGATGTCGAGGAAAAAGGGAAGCACTGGTGATGTGTATCATTTACGGTAAATGTAACCTTAAGGTCCTGAAACAGGTTTGTGTGCATTTAAACTCAGTTTGGAAGAGTTGAATCTTTCATTATTTTGTTTAATTTCCCCCCCCCTGAAGTTTGGGAATATTAAATATGTAGAGAATGTGGATAAACACAGCCGGTGTGACTGTGGACATGTTCACAATGCTGTGTTTTGTTGCTCGGAACTTGCAGCACTTTTGTAATGTGAGTCATATTTGTGCAAACCCACAAAGTTATCTGAGTTTTTTTTTTTTTTTATATCAGTATGGCCTGATGACTGATTATTTTCCAACACTCTTGAATGCCCTCAGTTATTATCTGGTTATGTCAACTCAGCACACACATGAATATCATTCCTCTGTTCCCATAGTGATTTTGTGATGTTTTTTAAACAATGCTGGCCATGTGTGCGCATGTTAGTTGTAGCATTTCCTTGTGGTGGATTTCAGAAATTAGGAATGTGCCTGACTTCTTTTGTTTGTTTCTTTTTTTCTGCAGACTGTTTTGCCCAAGGTGTTGACACCGTATATCCTGCTCCAAGCTTTAGGTCTTTTAGTCATGCAAGAGCATTAACTCTGCGGATCTTATTCCTAGTTTTCAAGGAATATTTTATTGTAGCAGCCTGTTAGCCTACTTTTGTAGATTTCCCACAGGTACATGTACAGAAGAAAGATATTATCCTGAAATTTACTCCAAAATAGTCACCTATAATTTATACTCAGTTCACAGCTTTGTCACACTATATGTGGATTTACATGTATTCCTTGATTGTGATCATATCATTCAAAGAACATGAATAAATGTTTGTTGTTTTCTGTAGAAAAATACTTTATTTACTCTTTTCAAGAACTTTACAAGTGAAGGGATTAGATACTGGAATAAAAAAGACACAGAAACTATTGATTAAGTCATCTACTCAATCTTTTTATCTTAATGCCATAGAACTTCAAACAACAATCCAAATGAAATGCTCTTGTCAGCAGTGAAGCCTGCAGCCACAGTGATGCTGTTCGTGAGTTACACCAGAGTTTGAAGAAGTGATGATATTAACTAAACGCATTTGATTGCCATTACACATTGCCATCTCCACGTAAAGAGCTTTCCACTCAAAGATCATTGATTTGGACATGGAGAAACAAAGTAGCAATGAATACAAAGATTCATTTAAAAATGGACCCATAAATTGAAATAGCAAATGTGATGATAACATTGGAGAATTTTCTCAGAGTAACTGAGTTTTATTTTTGTAAGAAATAGCTAAATAGATAATTCTTGGAACTTGAAGAAATGTCATCTGAAAGGCCTCTTCAGAACTGTATTTTAAATATTAATCAAATATATTCTAATCAATGGTGTAGTGTAATAGTACATTACATGACTAACGACTACAGCAAATAAGAAAAAAGGAGAAAAAGGCTCATTAATCATCTGAATCAGGCATGAAAACTTAAGTTTTATCAATGGGAATCTTCTACCTCATCCATGTTAAAGAAAACGAATGAAAGGAGCCAAGCTATAAAGTATAATTATGTGAGCATGTGACAAACATACTGCAGAGGTTGAAATGTATCTGTCAAACAAGAACACGCCTATTTCTCTCCCAGTTAGAAAAACATGTGATAAGAATGTTTAACCGGATCCTTTACCCGCTGTTGGACTCTGGAGTTAATTGTGCTATGTTTTTAATGACTTTAACTAATAATCAACTGTGATTAATCTCTGTATCATTCCTGATGGGTGTACCACGTTATTTAGTGATTTACATAATTAATCACATGATAAACAGTCCACATTTATAGATGACATCACAACCCTATGTAAGCTATACACAGCTATTTATAGGCAGTATGTATATGATATCGTGTATGTATGTTTGTGTAGTAGTGTATAGTATGTTGTCCCCAGATACTGTATTTCTATGGAGATATCACAATACTGACACCCAAAAAAGCAAGCACACATGCAAGCAAACAAAAACACCATAATGTTCTTAATATATAACTGTGTTATTTTTATTAACAACATTAATATAGTTGTAGCAGTCTTCAGTGAATATAATCTTTTTATTGGTACAAGCACTGACTCGACACGTGTTCAGGACATATTGTTTTTCTGCTTTCCTTTCGTAGGTGTTTACTTGAAATTAAAATATTTACTTTCCACAGTTTTCAAAAAAATCAACTTAACGCATTTTTATGATCTAACTGATGGAGCTGGTGAGTGTAAAAACGCTATCGGACGGCACGTGGGGCTGTGGTTTAGATTTTCCATCGCTTGGTGGCAGCACTGAGGCACCGCCTTGTATCCGCCCGGATAAAATACGACGAAGAAGAAATCGTCAACAAGAAATGCGAAAGTTTACCTGGGCTATCACTTCACCTCGGTCTTTACAGTGACAGGGATGAGCCCCCTAGCAGGGAGACGGTTTTCATATGTACTTTTCTTTCTAATACTCTTGTCTGAAGGATATTTTCGATGGGTAAGTGTAACTTGATGGCCGTGTTCTCGTGACTATTACGTGACTCAGCGCTGGCTGTCGTTGCCATTGTGATGTTTACCTAAGATGGGCAACGAAACCTGCTTTAGATCGGTTCAGCAGCGTAGCACTACTCCTCCAAATATAGAATAAAGTCAGCCTTAGCCAGTAATTGGCTTTATACTAATCTAAACATATAGCTAGCTGGCAATGCTACCAAAAAGGCTTTACGTTACTGGAAAGCTCGAACTGATAAGTTGATGTCGCACCTACAGACTGGTTGTACTTGTCCAGGTTGTAATTTGGAGTTAAGGCTGCTGTCGAAACCGGCTTGTTGTCACCAGAGGGACGAAACCACGTCTAGCTCCTAAATGCATCTCAGCTTCAGATGCCTCTTTGCACAAAACTTAAGCACGAACTCAAACGTTGGCAGAAATATGCGGACAGGGTTTGGTCGAACTGCCACTGAAAACAAATCACATTTAGATTCTTGGAGTCGTTTGCTCAGTTTTCCTTTAAATTAATTAATTTATTTATAGGAAATTAAATTAAATTCCATTCACTCTGGGTTGGTTTACATTAGTTTGCGTTTTACGTGGACTTGTTGATCAAACTGACAAAAACCTCGGGTATGAGATGGTTATTATTAAAATAACCTGAGATCCTCTTATGTGCTCCACTGGGATCTTACTGTTGTTAATATTTTTTTTTTTACATATGCAAATGTATAATTAGGATGTAAACTGGTAATATATGACCGTATGACAGTCATTTAGAGACACATTTCTACGTTAAATCCTGGCTTACTGTCGATACATTTTAAAATATGGTTCTGTAATCATGATTACATCAATTGCCTGTTTTATTTTACAAGAAAAAGGGAGCATATTGGTCGTTTGCAGCCACCCTGTGTTTTTCTTTTGAAGATGCCATAAATATGGCAAATTAGAAAGAAAGAATTAGACAAAAATCAGCACTAGAGTCATCCCTGCTCCATCCATTTGCTTTGATTTAATTATTCAATTGCATGAAGATAAAGCTCACTTGCCATGAGGGGTTTTTAAACACTCCTCATTTGCATTGTTTGCAGGATTTTTCATGATGCAATTAGGTCAGTCCACAGCAGGGCACACAACTACGTTGAAACTTTGCTAAAACATCTGAAATGTGATTAATCATTACATTTTCAGATAAGATAGCAGTATCCCAGTAAAAACAGCAAGAAATATTGATTCTGTGGAGACTGCAGTGGGTTAGCGGTGGGCTTATTCTTCTGTTAGGTTAGAGGTGGAATTTCTGTTCAAGGGTCACTGCGGGGATCTGATTGTCAGCACTGATAAGCAAGCCTCAGCAACGCAGTCACACAGTCAGATTGTTGTCCTAATCAGCAGCTACATAAAATCCATCCACAGAAATGATGACATTTGAAACCTGCCCGAGAACTTGTGGTATTTTCTTTTTTGTCAGTTTCAGGGTAAAGGTGACTTTGCTTAGTTGCACAGAACCCATGTGAGTTCGGATGCTGAATAGACAGATATCAGATCACCCTTACTTTAAGAAGTGATTGCTATATTCTTAAATGTTCTATTTCAGACGAATATTTTTCAAATGCTCTGCTTTAGTTGTGCAGGCACAGGCCCTCAGACCTATTGGTCAAATCTTGAACGGAAAAGAAGAGTTTTTTGCAGAAGTGAAAATGATATTTTTAAGCAGGCAGAGCACAAGATTCTAGAAATACAGGAAATGAAACCTGATCTGAATCTTTATAATATTAGAAGTAAAAAATAACCCAAGGTAAACCTTCTATTTCTAGCATCAAAGCGGTAGAATCTAATGAATCATTTCACCCCTCAGAGGAACTTGTGATGTTTTGTCACTTGGAAAGAATAGAATCTGTTTTTTGGGTTAAAATAACTGAACTGTACTGATTCTTTTACATTTTTATTTTGGTCATGCTTTCAGGTTGAAGCCCAGCACTGTGTTTGGTACGGTGAGTGTGGCGCGTCTGAGAAGGTACCTGGAAAAAAGTACAACTGTAATTACACCGGCCCCCCCCTCCCTCTGCAGCCCGACGGTCGTCAGCTTCTTACGGTATCGTGCTTTGAGCTTTAATGAAAATGAACCTTTTACATTGTCTGTACATTTTTGGAAGCTTGCGCCTTAATTTGCAGTGCAGAAACATTTTGCCGAAGTCTTACCGGAATGGTTGCCGTGCGTTTCTATGCAGGAGCTCTGTCCTGGGTATGACTACGGGAGCCGAAGTCTCTGCTGTAATGCGGACCAGCTGCGCACTCTCAAAGGAAGCCTGGAGCTGCCGCTTCAGTTCTTGTCTCGGTACGTGGCTAAACAGAAAATGCAGCCACTTTGAAAATGACATACTCTTTTCAATTCTAAACGTTTATGTTATTGGGACACTAAAGGAAATCATTTGAATTCTTAAAGTAATGCAAATACAACCTCAGAGGAGCAACAGCACATGACATTTTGCCCAGTGTTTTTTGTTTGTTTTAAAGAAGCTGAATGCAGAAGTAATGCGTGCGGTTTACGTCTTTGCCCTTTTGGTGTTTTCTTAATGTACATCTGAAAGTTTCAGACGGGCAAACACCATTTTTCTCACACTTGGCAATGATCATTTCATCACTGCCTTTGATTCACAGCATTCTGCTTCTACATTTTGCTTAAATATCTGTAAAATAAATACTGACACAGCAATATCTAATTTGTGTTTGAGCAGCTACTTTAAAGAAGTAGTAACAACACAATTATTTGCTTTTTGTCTCCTGATAAATTAACTTTAGACATGACAGAAGCTGTACTTCTTTTTCATATTTAAATAGGTCATGCTGCAAAGTGTTGTGTTTTTCTAACATCAGCATGTTTTCTTATCTTTGTGGATTATTATACTCCCTCTGATGAGTTCTTGCCTCGCTATTTCTTTTACCACTTGGAAGTTAACACGTTTTCATTATTGTGTTTGTTACTAAACTGTTCCTCTACACCATCCCACTCTGAAAATGTTGTGTGCACAGGTGTCCTGCCTGTTTCTTCAATCTGATGAACCTCTTCTGCGAGCTGACATGCAGTCCCCACCAGAGTCAGTTTATGAATGGCACCAAGTTCAATGCCTCCAATGTATTGGAAGTGCAGTACTACATTGGACAAACATTTACTAATGGTGAGCTCATTAGCAGAACCCAATTTAGATGTGAAGTCATGTATGCTGTGTGTGTGTGAGAGTGTCTGCAAAATGTGCAAATCTTTTCCACAAAGCACTGACGCACTTAGCTTGCACAAGATATCTGCTGAGTAAACTCTCTAAGTTCCCCAACTAAACGTGAAGTTATGCTGTCAGTTGACCAATTCTGTGGATGACTAAAGGCCATTGCAGTTCAGTTTTCAGATGGAAGCGGATGGGGGAGGAATATTTAGCGAAATGACTGTTTTTCCTTATGTGACTTTTCTCAGCTATGTACAATGCCTGTAAGGATGTCCAGGCACCATCCAGCAACATGAAGGCCCTGTCACTCCTTTGTGGCAAGGACGCCAGGGACTGCAATGCAACCAACTGGATCCAGTACATGTTCAGTATTGATAATGGACAGACTCCTTTTCCCATCATCCCCATTTTCTCTGGTAAAACTTCTTCTTTGCTGTAGTAATAGTCACTATGACATCTTTTACTATGTTTAATCAATCTTCCTGATGACTGGCATCCTTACTTTAGATGTGCCTGTATCTGGTTACACTCCCATGAACAACAAGACATATGACTGCACAGAGGGCCTAGAGGACGGTTCAGGTCCCTGCTCCTGTCAGGACTGCGCAAAGGCCTGTGGCCCCACACCTGTTCCTCCTCCTCTGCCCCCTCCCTGGACGATCCTTGGTATGGATGCCATGTCTGTCATCATGTGGATTTCTTACATAGCCTTCTTGCTTATCTTTGTCGGAGCTGTGTTGGGAGCTTGGTGTTACAGGTAACGGACGTTTGGTTCTACACGATCTTCTTGTTTTAATCAACATTTTACTAACACATTTGGGTCCTCGTGTCTGCAGAAAAAGGACCATTATGTCAGAGTATGGCCCCATTTTGGACAGCAATAACCCACTGTCTCTCAACAGTGATAATCCTGACCAAGGTACAGCAACACACGACTCACCATCCACTGCTCTTCCACCATAATAAGAGTAATGCTATTCTTTTTGGTCCGCCACTCAACCCGATCTGCTTTCCATTGCTTTTTTCCTCTCAGTAAATGCATCCTGCTGTGAAACGCTGGGGGAACGCTTTGAGAATCTCCTGAGGACGCTCTTCAGCTCCTGGGGTTCCTTCTGCGTGCGGTATCCGTCTTTGGTCATACTGGGCAGCCTGATAGTGGTGGTGGCCTCCTCGGGGGGGCTGGTTTATATGCGCATCACCACAGACCCAGTTGATCTGTGGTCGTCTCCCACAAGCCAAGCTCGACAAGAAAAAAGCTACTTTGACAGCCACTTCGGACCCTTCTTTAGAACTGCACAGCTCATCATCACCACTCCAATTAAAGACACCTTCATTTACTCTCCATATTTTGGAGGGTCAGACGTCCCATTTGGAGCTATCTTGAGGAAAGACATCTTGCATCAGGTAGGTTATACAGACTCTAAAAAATAATAAATGGTACTGCACTACATTAGCAATATAGTTCTGTTACTGATGGTACTTTTGTTGAAAGGTTTCACTTTCTCTTCTTCTTTGATAGAGTTTTTTTTCTATCTTTATCCAACCAGGTGCTGGATCTGCAGCTTGACATTGAAGCTCTGGTAGCCTCGCATGAAGGCCAAAACATCACGCTGAAGGACATCTGCTTGGCTCCACTGGCCCCGTACAATAACAACTGCACCATCTTAAGTCTTCTCAACTACTTTCAGAACAGTCACACTACACTGGACCACAGCATCGGGGATGACTTTTTTATCTATGCTGACTATCACAGCCACTTTCTCTACTGTGTCAGGTGATTCTTCCCTAAGCTTCTTAAGTTTATCACGTTTGCCAGTAAATGGGCACGTCTGCCTCTACCTGAACAAAATCCATAAAACCTCAGCAAAAAGCTATCCTGGAGTGTGAAGCCTGCTGCTCGTGCAGATCTGTTATGTGTTGAAGGGATCCCAATTTTGTTAACGTTCACGGGAAAATCAAAATAGTAACTCCAATTTCCTCATTAGCTGTCATGTGTCACATTATGTTCTTATTTAAGGAACGTACTGTGTAATTACACCTGTCCTGATGAGTGGCTTGTTGTTCTTGTGAATATGACTGTTTTACAGTTCTTCTCTTCCTTCCCCAGTGCACCAGCATCCCTCAACGACACCACTCTCCTCCACGATCCCTGCTTAGGAACCTTTGGCGGCCCAGTCTTCCCCTGGCTGGCCCTCGGGGGATATGATGGTAGATTTTAAAGCGTTGCTTGCATGATGTTTAATTTTTACCGTTGACAGCATTGGTAAACAAAGTTTTGTCATGTCTCAAAACTAACTGACCAAATCTATCTGGATTGGATCTGGTGTCCTTTAAAAAAAATTTGAGTGGGAATTTTATCGTCAGCAGAAAAGCCTTTTTTCCATTAAATGTTTTCAAGTCTTTACTACCACCCAATCTTTGTTATTTGCTGAAAGAGCCACCTTAATAATTCTGTAAATCACAAACAATTTTCTTTAAGTAATAATGTATTGCATTTAAAAAGCAGTTTCCTAACATGTGTGCTGTTAAAGATCAGATCATAAAAACTCTTTCATTTTGCATACCTTCTTGAAAAGTCAGTCTCCACTGATTGGCTGGCTTATCTGGCCTGATTTTCAAGCACCACCCACAAATATGTGAGAGCATTTTCATTGGATACAATAGGTTTCCCGACATAATGTTAAAAAGAAGGAAAAAGTATTCTTTTCTGGCCTTTGGCAATATTAAATTTGACTTGCTTCCGTTGATCATCTATTTTGTGAGAAAGCATAATAGAATAAAGTGTTTTAAATACATCATTCAGCCAATTAGAATGTATTAATACTTAAAATGGGATTTTAATGAGGCTTTCTAGAGCTTTATATGTATGTTTTTTTTTAAAGGAGTGATTAGTGCTGAATTTCAGTCCACTCAGTCTGCATATGTAAAAAAGATGATATTTTCACATTACAGACACAAACTTCAACAACGCCACTGCTCTCGTCATCACCTTTCCTATCAACAATTACCTGAACGACTCGGTCAGATTGAACAAAGCTCTGGCTTGGGAAAAAGAGTAAGACCGCTTCACTGCAGCAAACATCGCATGTTTTTTTTTTTTTATTGTGTGTGTATAAACCTTTTCTATTTTGGTGCGGTTTTAGATTCATCAAGTTCATGAAGAACTACAAAAACCCAAACCTGACCATAGCCTTCAGTGCAGAGAGAAGCGTAGAGGATGAGATCGACAGAGAGAGCAACAGTGACATCAGCACCATCGTGATCAGCTACGCCATCATGTTCATCTACATCTCCCTGGCCTTGGGTCACATCAACAGCTTCAGAAGACTGATGGTAAACCCTAAAACAATAATTGTCGAAAATCTAGACCTGTAACGCGTCTTTCCTGCTTTTGACCTTAGACTGTCCTAACCATAATCCAATAAAACTGGAACAAACTAAGTCACAGGCATTTCTTACTTGTGGAAATATGAAAGCAGATAAAAGTAGGAGGTCATTAATCGTTCCCCTTTTTGTGTTTACAGGTGGACTCTAAGATTTCTCTAGGTATCGCAGGTATCCTGATTGTGTTGAGCTCTGTGTCCTCCTCTCTGGGCATCTTCAGCTATGCCGGTATCCCGCTCACGCTCATCGTCATTGAAGTCATACCCTTCCTCGTGCTGGCTGTTGGTGTCGACAACATCTTTATTATAGTGCAGACATACCAGGTGAACACTTAATCGCAGATTTTGATGTGTGATTTTCTCATACCTCCACTTCAAGTTTTTTTTTTTTTTTTTCATTCGTAATTAGAGGGATGAAAGAATGCCGCAGGAAGAGCTTCACCAGCAGATTGGTCGCATTCTTGGAGACATAGCTCCCAGCATGTTCCTCTCCTCCTTCTCAGAGACTGTGGCCTTCTTCCTTGGTAATACAGATCAGTTACATAAACGCTGTCTTTGTACTCAGCAGGAATCTGGTTGATTAAACTCTGAGAAGTACAATCTAGATTTGGCTGAATCAACTGTTTTTTTTGTGGAGTGGACTGACTGTGCTAAAAGAAAGAGTTTCTCCGTCTCCTGGTGTGTCACAGGCTGATAAACTTGTTGTTTTTTTTCTCCTTTTCCAGGCGCCCTGTCCAACATGCCTGCTGTGAGGACTTTCTCCCTGTTTGCTGGCTTGGCTGTTTTTATTGATTTCCTGTTGCAGATCAGCTGCTTTGTGAGCTTGCTGGGCTTGGATGCCAGAAGACAGGAGGTGAGACAGATCATCTGTTCTGGAAGGGGTTTTTAGGGGGGTTGAGCAGTGTAAGAGAATTTAATGGCACAGCAGTATTTGTTTTTTGTTTTTTTAAGTGGTAAACCCACAAGCATTTTAATGATGTGTTTAAAAATGATCTTTCTGTGGTCTGACCAAAGGTGTTATTCGACAACTTGATCTTATTTGGGTCATAAATTGATGTTCCCTGGGTTTTGCTTCTTTCTGATTGGTTTATTAGCTAAATCAGAGCTTTTAAGACATGACAAAGAACAAGCAGGGATTTTTTTCTTTACCCTTTTAGATGTCACCCATAAAGTTTTTTTTTATGCAAGTAACATCCTGCACAGTAACGTCAGAAGTAGGTACCAAGTTGTTAATAGTTGCCAAGTTCTTCAGAGCTAACTTTTACAAGTACCTCACTTTGATGTTATTTCAGGGGGGAAACCTTAAGAGCTTCGGTTACTTTTACTTTAGCTCCTTCTTAACATCCTGTTTAGTTTCAGGTTATTATCAATTTATCTTTCTTTTTCAATCTTAAATAAATACTCTTTTTTTCTCTGACAGTTTTTATTAAGTCCATTGGTCCAGTGTGAGTGTTACGGTTTTGAAATTATGTCCATTCACGAGGCAAAATCTCATGCTCAAAAGTAAATACAATTGCAATGGGAAAACACTATGGAGCCTGTAGTTTCAATATAGCCTCATTATTTAAAGGTTATACAGTTTAAAACGGTGATATGTTGAAGGAATATAGCACAGATATTGGCTCTATCCCAGTCTCTCCTATTAGCTTAACGGCTACAACAGTCACTGCATCTAATTGAACCGTTTGTTTAATCGGACAAGCTGCATACCATTAACAGCTCCACACAGATTAAATGAGAAGCTGCTGTTGCCGTGCATATTTGCCTCCTTTAAATGCTGGGTTGTCTGCTTTTAAAAGGGAAATCGACCCGACATCTGCTGCTGCGTGAAACTGCCAGAAGGTCAGGAGGTCAAAACACAGGGCTTCCTTTTCCGCTTTTTCAAGAAAGTCTACGCGCCATTTGTCCTCAAAGAGTGGGTGCGACCGGTCGTGGTAAGTGCTTTGGTCCGAGTTAATCAGGAAGAAAAATGGTCAGTTTTTCTTTGACCTGTGATGATCATGTATTTTGGAACAGGTGGCAGTGTTTGTCGGCATGCTGTCCTTCAGCATTGCCGTGGTGGATAAGGTGGAAATTGGACTGGACCAGAAGTTATCCATGCCTGATGTGAGTTTTAGGAGTCCTGTCATAATTGGAACCTTTTAAAGCAGAGTGTGAAAAAGATAGTAACCACCACTGACTGGCAAGTGACAGGATTTATTAAGTGACGCTCTGTCTCTCTGTCTAGGACTCCTATGTTCTGGACTACTTCAAGAACCTGAGCGAGTATCTTCACACCGGTGCACCCGTGTACTTTGTGGTAGAGGATGGTCTGAACTACAGCAGCCCAGAGGGGCAGAATGCTGTGTGTGGAGGGGTGGGCTGTAACAACAACTCCCTGGTTCAGCAAGTCTATACCGCCTCACTCATGAGCAACTAGTAAGTTATAAAAAAGATATAAGCCACTGACGAATATCTGTTTTAATGTGAGAACTCAATGTTTAAAATCATATTTATGAGATAACTGTTTTTTTTCTTTAGATGTGTTTGTGATGATGTCACTGACCGGTTTACTTAGTTTTAGATTTTTAATCTTTTTTTTTTTTTCCCTCAGCACAACCATTGCTTACACGCCATCGTCCTGGCTGGATGACTACTTTGACTGGGTGAAGCCTCAGTCAACTTGCTGTCGGTACTACAACACATCTGGAACCTTCTGTAATGCCTCAGGTAATTAATTTTACATAGCATTGATACTACAAAGGAAGAATAGTTTTTAACCAGGTCTGCATGCCTCAGATAGAGTCTCTTTCCAGGCATTGTTGGGCAAATCCATGGAAAAAGTGCAAATAAGAGGCATTATGGATGATTAGAATATGTTTTTAGTTAGTTCTGATCATGTTTCTTTGGTGAGGCAATAAAGGCAAGTTTTCATTCTTTCATGCCTACAAGTCTTTCCTCATCGATATGTTAGATGTGTTGTTCCAAGTATGTAAAATAATGTATATATATTCCTAATTCTACTTTTCAGTGGTGGACCCTTCCTGTGTAGCATGTCGACCTTTGACTCCCAGTGGAAAGCAGAGGCCTACTGGAGAAGAATTCATGCAGTTTTTGCCCATGTTCCTGTCTGATAACCCCAATGCCAAATGTGGAAAAGGGTAAGTCATCTGCAACTTAAAGGTTTTCATTCCAAACACTGTGATTCTGCATTAGCTCCTGTAGACCCACATGTTTGAGTGAACCCCCTCACCACACAATGTGTTTTTTGGTTTCAACTGTCACATACCACTCTTTCTTTTTTTATTTTCTCCAGCGGCCATGCGGCTTATGCTTCAGCCGTAGACCTGTATCCCAACAGCACAGGTGTTGGAGCCACTTACTTCATGACTTACCACACCATCCTGAAGGAGTCCCCAGACTTCATAGATGCTTTGAAAATGGCTCGACTCCTGGCCGCCAACATCAGTCAGTCCACGGGGCACAGAGTTTTTGCTTACAGGTAAATTTGTCTTTTTTTTTAACCTAATATGCTTTGACAATAACTGTAAAGCTGTAGAAAAGACTCTGACCTTTATATAAAAACTTTGTTCCCAAATATGTTTACGGCCTGTGATAGAGGCCGTGTTTGTTAGTGCCACGAGTTCAAGAATAGGTCACAGATAAAAACAAGGCATGGAAGACGTTGTGATTGTGAATGTTTGAACTGACCCACTGCACCAGAGTGCCTGTCCCCAGCAATTAGCTATCTGCAATAACAAAATGATACCACCGCCTTTGTGCAGCCTTTAAAATTTGGGTAGAACCCTAAATTAAAGGAAGGAGTGCTTTGTGGAGCCAAAATATTAGCTTTTCTAATTTAAACAAAGGACTACAAAAACATGAATAACTGAAAAAACACATCACATTTCAACGGAAAACATCTAATTGCACACACGACAGGTTCGCCGCGTCCGATTTGTTCACTGATGCTGATTTTCCGCCTCTCCAGTGTCTTCTACGTGTTCTACGAGCAGTACCTCACCATCGCCCATGACACAGCTCTGAACCTCAGCGTGTCGCTGGGCGCCATATTCGTGGTGACCACCGTGCTGTTGGGCTTCGAGCTGTGGTCGGCGGTGCTGGTCTGCCTCACGATCGCCATGATCCTGGTCAACATGTTCGGCGTCATGTGGCTGTGGAACATCAGCCTCAACGCAGTATCTCTCGTAAACCTGGTCATGGTAAGACTAACCCGAGACAACATAACATGGGGTTAAAAGAGAGGTTTTTATTTTCATATACTATAGCAGTGAGTGTTAAGTATTGCTTTTAGGTATGTTATGTGGTTTATTTGTCTATTAAATCAGCTTCACAGGGTACATTAATCACATCTGGGGATCCTTCTGGCTGTTTGACTTTGTTTTAGAGACTTTGTTCTTATAGGATCAGTGTCACAATCACGTAGCCAAACTCTTCAATGTTATAATCAATAAATGGCAAAAAATGGAGCTTAGGCTTCAGGCTTAGGCTAAATTATTAGGTTAATTGCTCTTTAACTTTGCCCATTAAAATGTTCACGCAGTCCTGAATTTTCTAAGTTTCCGGCACTTGCGTGTCTCTTAACTTCTTGCAGAGCTGTGGCATCTCGGTGGAGTTCTGCAGTCATATCGTACGAGCATATTCCATCAGTGTAAAGAAGGACAGAGTGGAGCGGGCGGAGGAGGCCCTGGCTCACATGGGGAGCTCGGTAAGTAACACTTTAGTCCTTATCGATTCATAAAAGGATCCCAAATAAATGAACTCAAGCATGCTGCTTGTGCGACATGTTTGAGCATTTGAAATGATTTCACATATCTGCAATAGCTGAAAATAGAATTTCATATAGAATTAATGGTTGATTGGTTAAGTTCACTGAATATTCATCTCCTCAGGTATTCAGTGGGATCACACTGACAAAGTTCGGCGGCATCTTAATCCTGGCGCTTTCCAAGTCGCAGATCTTCCAGGTCTTCTACTTTAGGATGTATTTGGCCATCGTCCTGCTGGGGGCCACGCATGGCCTCATATTTCTCCCTGTTTTACTCAGCTATATAGGTTGGTGATCTCTCACATAACAGGAAAACGTTTACATACAACTTTGTGACACATTTCACAAGCTGTGTAACACTTATTGTGTTATGTTCCAACTTTAAAAGAAAATGTCTTTCTTTTTTTGAAGGTCCATCAGTGAACAAAGCAAAAGTGTTTGCTGCTAACCAGCGCTACGCTGGCACAGAAAGGGAGCACCTCCTCAACTACTAGATGGCCACCTGGGACATAATGAACAATGAGCTAACTATTTGTCAGAGAGGGATTGTGTGGGTGTGAGTGCCAACCGCTTCTGTGATCACTGACACACTCATCATTGCTATGCATGGAACTAACTCAGGAAAATACAAGGGAGTGCCAAAGCTTCCTTCGTCGATATCCTTATTGATTTTCCTCTGAATCCGGCCCCTCCCCGCCCCGCCCCCTGCCCGCTCTCTTCGTCCTCCACTTCACACTACAGGACAAGCGTGACTTCAGTATCTGAAGCTTGAGCAACAGAACAGACACTTTTGCCGAGCGGTTGGGACATTCATTTTCGCAACATTAACTGACAACCGATTCAAAAGGGTACAAACTGGTCCATTCTCTTTTTTTATGTATATGCATTGACCAAAAAAAAAAAAAAGTGAAATAATTTTGTTGGGACAAGAAAGAAAAAGTTGGACTTTTGTATAATGGATATTGTGAATCATTTAATGAGTTACGGAGGGCACATTTAATAGCATCACAGGGCCTTGTATCACATGACATTTCCATGAATGTTAGGCCAGGCTTTGTTTCCTTATACAGTGTTTTGATGTATATCAACTATTAGTGCATTTCCTTTGCATCTTTTAAGTGTCTGGAAAGTGACGTTTTGGCTCAGGAGAACTTGACTTGCAATCAAAGAAAGCCATTTTGAGAATAATATGGGTTTTTAAGCAAGTCCACATCCATGTTAGTGGATATGTTGTAGCACTCTGCCTGCATGAAGCTCATTATTTCTCCACATACTAGCAATTAGTGCTTAAGATGCTGCTTTCTACACCACTTTATTTTTTCCCACTGTTTACTTTTTCCACTTTCTCAAATTCATTTTAAAACCCACTCCTTTACTTTTACTTTTGTGGCGTTTGCATGATTTCGAACATTCACCAATCTTCTACCTTCAAGATCCATGTTGATGTCAGGTTTAAAAGGTGCTGTGGTGCTAAGAAGGATTTTACGCTGAAGTGTGTCTAAAGCATTTTATAGTTACTGAACAAATAGTTTAACAGAAAAAGCTAAACTCAACTGTTTTTTTTTTTTAAAAGCTCATGGGGCTGATTTAGATCCATTCCATGCTCATTTTTATTGTTGGAATTTATTGCATAATATTACAGTTATGTTTTTCATTTCTTTGCATTTAATTTATTTTCTTTTTTAAGCTATTAACATTGCGTTGATATGTGTTGATGCGTTTAAACCACTTCTGTGAAAGGAATCACTCACTTATCAAGTAAGTTCAAAAGAAAATGTTGTCATTAATGATAATCCTCATTCTGTCTTGTCGCCTCTATGAGATTAGAAGCGGTTCATCAAGGTGGTGTAATGCCACTAGTTTAATTGGAATATAGCAGATGTATCTTTGGTAGATGTCAGCATTTGACACAATGTGAGTTTTTCTTTCCCCTCAAGAAATGTTAATGTTTTTTTGTTTTTTTTGTGATGTATGAAAGAATGATTCATAGAGTTGTGGGAAACATTTCCTGTCCCTGTTGAAGTAATTGTACAGTGACAACTCTGACACTGAAAAGGAGATTGGATACTTTAGTTTTTAACAATTTTAACACATTTATTAAAGGGTGCTCCAAAAAATAGTCCACAGCCTACTTCTGCATGTTAAATTCCAAAGAATATACCTGCGTCAGCCAGCGTTTGCCTCATGTGAGTGGATATGAGAGCGGTTATTGGGTCCAAAAGGTGTTATTTGCAACCTAACCTTGTGCCTAACAGTGGAACCTGCAGCTGAGCTGTCTCAGACCAGCCACAGTGTGGCGCCTGAACCATTCGCTCTGCTCCGCCTGTATTCTTTCAATAATGTAGAGGCGGTGACCTCGATTTTTGTGATTTGAAGAGAAGCATCCTCGCAGTGCTTTTAGTTTGTCACTGAATTCATTTTTCTGTAGCAGAATTGTCTTTAAAACATAAAGGCAGCAACAGTCTGGTCACTAAAACAGCAGCATAGAGCTGGCCGTTCTCCCTGTTAATTGGCAGCATTTGGATCTGAACCCCCGGCACTTGAGGGGCCATCGTTCGCTGACATCCCATTCGAAAGCTGCTGCCAAGAGGGGATCCGTCTACTTCCTCTCACACTGTGTTGTTTTGACTGCCTGCTCAGCCCTGTTGTCACACAAACCTGCAGCTCATGACTTATTTATCCGCTGCCCAGCGAGAGAGAGCTGACTGTCCTTTTGAGTGCAGCCGAGAGATTAAAAAATTAATTTCCTCTGCCGGTCTGCTCTGTGTCTGCCGGGCAGAATATACAGGTTGTCAGAGCCCTACTATGTAAGATGTTCAAGGCTGTGCTCGTACTCTTTGTTGACCTATCCCCGATCGTCCATTATGGAGGAGACCAGCTGCACAGCGAGGCACCAGCTCAGTGAGGCTAAAGAAACACTGAAGGAGAAGAGTAGCCAATATGGAAACTGCAATCTTTGCTGCCAGTTGTAGGAAATAAGACTCATGTTTTAGATTTTCCAAAAATGTGCAATCTGGTGTCAAGTGTAAATGTTTGTAAAAAGGGTGTCACATGCTGTGTTAAATTGTCAGAATCAGAATCAGAATCAGAAATACTTTAATAATCCCAGAGGGAAATTATTTTTGTTACAGGCTCCATAAGCAAAACAAAGGCATATACATATATACATGTCTATACATATATACATATATATATACAAATTGTTTTATCGAATATAAGACAAATACGGGCTGTGTAGTAAATCCTCAGATATTAAGTTGTTTTTGAATACTTATTGCTAAAGTTATAGCAAATCCTAGTCCAGAGGTGAAACCGAGGCCAATAACTGCAACTCGACAAGTCACAGAGGGATTATCATAATGTGCCGACTGGAAATCTGGCAACCGAGTGTAATTTGCTTGATTTAAGAAAATAACTTTTATTAGATTTTATGAATTGTTATTGACAATGGGTTTAGCCTCAAACTTTTTGCTCCAAAAAAAGAATTTGTTCTAGTTAAGTATATTTCTCTTATATAAAAAGGTTAGAGGGCATTGTTTAATCTCCAGCATACGAAGTCATTTAATGTGATTCAATCATGAAAGAACTTCATTGTACAATATGAGTATCTAGTGTCAGAATAACCTGGGATTATCAATCCAAACATTTATTCTCTTTTCTTGTACAATAGAACGAGGCTAAAAATATCATTTCAGTCATCTATTAACAAACCCGGCTCAGGAGCAAAAACATATATATTATTTAGCATTGAGGAATGAGGTAGTGGCAGATTAAGAAAAGCACACCTGTGGAGAAACTGATTTTCTCACATTTGTTTCAAACATGCCCAATTTGCTTCTATTCCTACATGATAGAATAACACCTGGTTCTGAAGTACTTCCATTAATTTTTCTCACAAGGGGGCTTCCATGGCCTCTGCTTAAAAAGATGATCTGTATTTGATTTTTTATTTTTTTTACCCAAGATCCATCAATAAATAAGTGTAAGAAAGCGTGTAATGTCCCGCTCTGCGTCACTGGTTTTCTGTTACAGTGGGCTCAGTTGACTCTTGGGTCGGAACAAAAGGGATTAGGTAGCCTGGTCAAAACACGGAGAGAGGATCAGATTTTCAGGTCCACCTGCAGCGTCCACAGAGCAGCTTTACCAAAAACAAATTGGACACTGAAAAATTAAAGCCGTGCCTTCGAACAAACAGAGCGGTGAACCTTTGAGAGCGGCCAGTGATTTATGAAAGGAACCCAGATTTTTGCTTGCCTGCCTGTTTGTCGCTGATAAGAAACCGAGATTAAGAAAAAACCGGCTCATTTGGAAGCCGACCGGTCACAACAACAGAATTCACTTCCATGTTTACAAACTGCAAAAGGTGGAAAAGCCCTGAGTCACGGTATCATGACAGGAAAGATGTAAAATGCCGTTTCAGCCAAATGTTGTTATTTTAAAGGGAAGGGCGATAGGCCGTGGCTTGCCCCAAACGATGCTACACATATTTTCACAATGAAGGTCACTTATGTGTGAGCAGTGCTCAGGAAGGGCTGTCAATAGACCCCTTTATGGGACGGTGAGGGGGGAATTAGGCCTTCAATGGAGGGGACTAAGCCACGTATGCCACGTGCCCACTCCCAGGCCTGGTCTGTTTGTTTTGATCGCAGCGTGCGGCTGGCGTGACCACGGGCCTTGTTTACATTGGGTATGTGTCAGTCAGAGGACATTTCCCACCTGCTGAGAAACGCACCTCTGAGATTGCATCAGTGCAACAGGTGCAATCGTTTCCAGTAAAAGCTCCTGAAGATATCTGTTTTGTTCTGGCAGTTTAAAAACTTATGAATTCTACGCATGGAGGCCATAGATATATTTTTATTCAATAGGTGGTTCAAAGGTATAAAAGATGGCTCGGTAAAAATATTGTTTTGGCTGATTCAACGAAACCTATTCTGCACATCTAGCTATAAGGGGAGAATGTTTTTGACAAAGTTGTGTTTTTTTAATCAAATATGAAAAAAAGAAGGTTGAATAACACATTGGCACACGGCACATAGCTTTAATTTCGAAGCAAAGGCAGCCTGGTTCGATTTGCATGTTTGCTCAGTTTCCTGCTGGGCCCTGACCTCCATGTTTCTTTGTACGGTATCATATTTGCCAGATGTGTATATATAGGATCAAAATGACTTTTATACGGCAACCGAGAGTCAAATAACCCAAATAATCCTTCCAAAAGCTTGGGTCTCACTAGTTTGATCGTCATTTTTTGGGATCATGAAGAAACTGCAGGTTAAGAGCTTGTTTCACTTTTCTGGAAACTGATTTTGACAGTTCATGTTCTTAGGGGAACATTTGCGGGGGGGGGGGGGGGAACGATAGAATAAAAGGCTTCAGAGAACAGTATGTTAAAGTCCTTTAAAGGAAATTTGAGGGCTGGTTCAACTTGAAGTGATGCAACACTGAACCTGAAAACTACTCTGATCCAGACCTGGTTGGACTGGTTTGCACGACATGTTAGGTTTCTTAAGTATATTCTATGGGAATAACCTACTTGGAGGCCTTTTATGTGGCTAATTCAAAATACAATCAGTTATACAAATCAGTAGCATTTGACTAAATCCATTTGGGATTCTCTGGATTAGGCAGCTCTTCAGACAATGTGTCCCATATATACAAAATCACGCAGTCTTAATTGTTGCCGTCCAGCTTTTAGTAAGTTTGTGGACGGTTCGATGGTGACTTCCTTTTCTGAATGTGGTCCTCTTGTGTCTGTAGACACTTCACAGCTCTTTATAGTTTGACACTTTGTGTTTTGTGATATTTATTTCAAGTCTTGTTGTACTTCAATCATTTTCTAGTGTCCTCTGTCATTTTGTAGTGTCTTTCAGAGGTTAGACTACACCTTTTTAATCTTTTTGTGATCAGATTGTCCTATTTTGTGACACTGTGGTTGTTTTATGATTTGTGTGCATCATAATGCTTTAAGCCAGTGGGTGTGTGCATGCTAGGAGCACTCAGTTGTCCTTCCATGCCTCTGATGATGAATATCTAGATATTTCAAGTCTTCCCGAATGTGGTGACCCCACTGAATGAACGAGTGCCCGGCTGCCCGTGTGGCTAAAACAGTCTATTCAGTGTCTGAGCAGTAAAACCCATCTGGGTGAATAGTAAGAAAACATCTTTTCGATTGAACAAGCATAGCAATTTATTTACAATCATACACAGGTAATAAGTGTCACCCATGAGTCTTTCCTCACAGAGTACTTTGGGTGCATGTTACAGCAAAATCTTTGGGTTTGCAAACAGAAAGAAGCTCAGTGTTATTCACTTTAAATCAGTACAATCCATGCTTTTCTGATGACAATTAGTCTTGTGATCATGTCAGCTCAAATACCATCACTGTGTGGAGCAGCGTCAAAATAATCCTTGTGAATGCTTCTGATTCGGTGGTGGCTGTGAACTCTTGTAGTGTATGAGAACATTTGAAGACTATAAAGGTTTAAATACATGCCAAGGAAACTGTTACATGGCGAAAGTTGATGATTTTCCTTATTCAATGTGGTAAGTTTGAGATAAAATAACTGAATTTAAATGATTGCTGAACTCCGCTGCGGCCTCATATTAGAGACTCTTTATCCTCACAGAGGTCAGCAGTCAGTATCCCTGTGGCCTGTTCAAGAAAAAAAGTGTCTTGCTCAAGGACACTTTTGCCAAAGGTGATATGTTCAGGCACAAAGTCTTAACCCATTCAACCCAAAGAGGGTTTTCTTCTCTCTAAAGCACCCTCCCACCAGTCCCGATCGCCGGTTCATGGCATTTTGCACTCATGAACAACTTTCCCATAAGAGCACTGTAAACGTGCTAGCAAAACACTCTAACATAGAGCACAGGAAGTTTTCATCTGATAAAAGTGGGTCTGGCCAAACGAAGCCCATAGTAAGCATCTGACTTGTAGAAAATGAGTGGAATATTTCAGTGAAAATAGAAGGTCTGCAAGTACCAAACATTCATCAATTTCCATGCAGATACTTGTGGTTAGAAAAACAGTTTTGAGAGAAAAACAAAGCGCCATTAAATAACATGTGAGGTGCTTATGAACACAGCAGATTTTTTTCAATTAGTTCCCAAGCTTCTTAATAAAAAGTTTCAACCCCCGATGTGTTGCACCACGCAAAGTGCACTTTTAAGACAATGAGTTGCAAAAGTATGAGACACCTCGAGGAATAACAGTCCAGCCAAAACCTGCTACTTCAAAAGCATTTGTTAAAATCTTATGCAGGTCAAAAGGTAACCAATCATACCAATTTTTTTACAAAGAGGAGATTCATGAAAAGACTAGATAAAAATGAGCAATGTTTAAAAAGTAGATTCAAACTGAAAAAAAAATCTCTTAATCAACAAGAGAAATACACTATATGATGGAGATGAGAAGAGATGCTGACATGCAAACTGGTAAAAAATCAGCTTGTTTGCAGACAATTTGACCCTCCTCTAAGAAGTTCACATAGTGACAATGAATGCAGAAGTAAAAAAAAAAAGAAAAAAGAGGAAGGAAGTGTCTTTAAAAATGTGTCCCTTTGGCTGACAACAGTTCTGTGAGAGCAAATGTTGTGATGAATGGCTGCAGCTCAGTGACAGAGATGTTGGGAGGATGGATACTGTAGGATCAGGAGGGGGAACTCCTGATGGTTCTTGAATGCTAAGAGGCCTGCAGCAGGCGTCTGTAGTGCGGCATGATCTCGTGTTCCGGGAGGTGCAGGTTGAACTCCAGTGCCACCAGGACAGGAAACTCAAAGGCTATCAGCTCTCGGCGGTTCACTCTGAACCTCTCCTCCAGTTTCTGCCAGAAAAATATCGGGAGTTAGACTCTGTGCCTTCTTTAGTCTGTGCCTTCTTAAGTTAGACATATTCACAAATGCAAAACTCGTTCGAGTTTGAGATGCGGCTGATCCTTGGAATTATTGGTTCAATCTTTGTTCAACGGAATTCTTCCCTGAAAACTGTCACTCAGTTTAGAAGATTCTTATTTTGGAACCTTGTTTTTTTTTTTTTTTTACACAAATATATATTTTTTCCCCTCTAGCCTAAACTGTATTTCATTGACATGCTGGCAATCGCACTGGCATTTTGTCAGAATGGTTAACTTAATGGAAGAAAAAACATCACCGTTTACTTTAATGTTAAACTATAACCGTAACAGGAAAGCAATCAGAAACTTCTACCTGACTTTTGGAGTCATGCATGAGGAGACTTACGTCTATAAGATGCTTGACCTCGTGTTTCTTGAGATCACCGCCAATCTTGGCGGCCAGAAGAACACAAGCGCCAGCACAGAGTTTGCGGTTCTGTTTGTTTAGTTTGCCTTGAAGAACAAGTTTTTCAAAGTAGACAAAAGCCATGGCCACGGTCGGTTCCTCATACCCACATTCATCCTGGGCCAGTTTTCTTATCTCCCTTTTCAAGCTGCACAAGTTTTTGAAAAAGAGAGCGATGGAGGAAGGAAAGGTGAGAAAGAAGGAAATTAAAGTGTCATATTTATTTAAAAAAGCATGTTTAAAACAGCAACCATCAAACAACCTGTAGTGGTGAAAAGAAATCCCTTAAGGAACAAATGCATGTGTTATTTCAATAAAAAAGGAAAGAAAATGCTTTCTAATTCTCTACTTTAAATGTCTTTACCTGCGTATCTTGCTGAGAGTGAGTCTTATGTGGGGAAATTTCTCCTTGAAGGTTTCGTTCATGTCCTTTTTGAGGTCAAAGGGTTTGACGTATTCGATGACCGTGGTCTGAAAGGAAAACCAAAAGGTGGTGTCAAAGTGACCACACTCTCGTCGCTGTGTGTAACAAGACTGAAGCCTCACACCCTAGTGTTGGATTCCACCATCTGACAATGATCCTCACTGGATGCTGTGGCATTATAAAGGACTTATAGCGGGAGTCCATGTCCATATCATTTTATAAAGATCAAATGATATTCTAAAGGTGCACTTTTATGCCTTGCATACAGCTTCTTCAGGTTTTTTTTTTAATCATATCGTTAGGGAAACAAAAAAAGAAAATTGGGGATTAAAAGCATTGGAAGAACAAAGAGGCATTGTTAGCTTTCTTATCATCCACCTTTTTCTTTGTCTGAACATGAATCCAGGTGACACAAACATGCACCACAGCAAAGAAAACTTTCAATGTCTCTACAGTTGTTTGAATGACTGCTGTCAAGACAAAAATTGACTTTGGGAAAAAAAAAGTTGGAGCCATTTTACTTTTGCACATGTTTCAAATGAGCCAAAACTGTACATAAAGCTCTGTCTTTAAATATTACGTTTAAAAACAAACTTTTTCTAAATAATCCAATAAAACCATATGGATTCAGTGAATGTTTTCCACCTGCATCTTTGAAGTCTTAAGGCAACTGGTGGCTTACAATTAAAATTAATGAGCTTATTTAGAAATCACATCCATGGCTCTTTGGTTAGCTGATTCTATACTTGTACATTTATTACCTGCTTAAACAAAAAGGTTTGACTTGGTCATATCTGGCAAACAGCCTGCTCACAACTCTTGAAATGCTGAGAATTTACTGGCTGTTTTCCTGTTGTAAACACAATAGCTATTGTTGTCTGATGGGGTTTTGCAATTGGAGGAAGAGAGAATTAAAAAAAAGAAAAGAAAAAAAGCCTAGGCTTGACTAACATTTCCGCTGTGTCAGTCCTTGTTCTCTTTGCCGGTCTCTATAGCAAAATCAGAGCCCAGGAAAGAATGAGAAGGGAGTCCATTAATTTTTTGCCCTCCCTTTTTTCCAACCACAATAAAACATCCGTTCTTTTCCGGCTGAGACTGAGAATGATCACTGCCGAGGCACAAACTGAGCCTGTTGCGTTGGTGGAATGGCTTTTTGACAGCGACTGCCCACAACAGAGAGATAAAGTAGGTCTTTTTTCAAGCCCAGGAAGGTAGAAAAGAGTGCGGAGCAGTGACCTCGCTGATTTCAAACCGTCTGAAGCCTCGCCAGACTGCTTTTCAGAAGCCGCTGATAAAGCTGGGGTGCCTCTTTTAGAAACAAACTGCACACAGACCTTCCCTGTGTTATTGCTTTTTGGTTGTGGTGGGAACAGTGAGAACAAAAGGTCGAAAATAATGATAAAAACGTAAATAGACGCTGGACAAAAAAAAAGAAAAACAAAAAAAAAGGCACACACTGAGATCTCACAGTGTATTTTGAAACAATCTTTCCTGTCTGCTCTCAGGAGATTGGGCTGCTGCTTTGGACGGTCGTGCTGTATTAGAGTGGACTAGAGACGATCATTTTCTCACCATGTAAGAAGGGAAGATGAGGACTCTCTTGTGTTTTCCACAAGGCCATTGTGGGTCATCCAGTATATTGGGGTCGTACTCGCGAAAGTCCCCAAAATCATTCCCTGCCAAAGCACAAATAACAACAACAGCAGTTGAGCCAATTCCATTTTTATGGAACATTTGCAAATTAGCGGAGGGTAGGGTTTCCAAACTTTAATTATGGGTTATGTACACACCAGTGACCCACTCACCTGTGTCTAAGCTGCTCTGGTTGCTGTTGGCTCGGCCCAAACTGAGACTGCGGTGGCTCGCGTTGCGAGACTGAGAGAAGGATGAAACCGAGTCGATGGTGTTTCTTCGACCACCCAGGACATTGGTGGGATACAGGAACTGGGTGTAGGACACAGTCTGCAAATACAAATTGTCTTCAGAATGTTTTTCATAGACGGAAAAAAATATATATTTAGTATTTGATTGAGGGCGTAATCTGATCACTCCTCCAGCAGCTACCCAAGAACAAACTAGGGAGATTTCCTCCACAAATACAATCCTGACAGGCCACAGTCGAGCTGGTTTCAGTGTTGTGGGGGGACTGTTTTTCTCATAGTTCCACAGGGAGATATCTGTGTGACAGATTGGTAGTGAAAATATAATGTTTTGCAGTTATTTTTTAAAGCTTACTTCGGGGTAGTTACATAACAAAGTGACTCCCGCTTCAAAGCAGAATATGTATCAAAGCTGACTGTATCTAGATGAAGGGTTACTTGGTTTCTTCTCATTCCGATGTGCAAATCACTGGAAATGCAAACTGTTCCCGGTAAAATGAACCCAGTCTTACTCTGTGGCGTCATACATTTAGCTAGAAAAGGTATGAATGTATGGGAATTTTGCTACTTTCCTCTCATGGAATGCATTTGAATGAGAATGACGATCACTAACACCACAGGTTTCTATTGGTTTCTCACCTTTCCGTCTGCTCCTAACTCCACTCCCTCGAGCCCAATCACCATCTCCTTGGCACTTACACCTCCTGACGGGTGACGCTGACGCCCTTCCACCTTCACTTCCCTATTGAGCACAAGACTTTTAGAGCTCTCACCAAGCGCACTGCACTGCAGCTTCTTTGAACCCCCACCCCTCATCTGTAGCTCTGCTTGCCCTTATCCTAGCACTCCGCATGGTGCAAACTCTACAAATGTAGACCACGTATCGATCCATGCTCATTAGCTGACCTAGTTTCTATAATTGCTTGCGTCTTTTGGCGGATCTCAGGGCATTCGGAAATAAGGCAGGCCCTTGGGAGGTGGGAGGGAGGGGAGGAGATTTTCACGTTTGTAGGCCAATCTCCTGAAAATCAGGTACGGCCTCCCCAGTGCCTGAAATGCCATACTCCAGGGGGAGATATGCAAAAAGCCTAACGTTCTCCTGAAGCAAAAAAAATGGATGGCTGGAGACCAAAGTGTGTCAGTAGAGCAAACAGAGCAGTTTTGAGCAGCCCACATTTATTTTTGGTTTATGAAAATTACATTAAAACTAACTTGAGTGCCCTACAGCTAAAAATCAATTGACATCTGACAGCCTGTCATATTGAATAAGGCACCCGTCGCTGACTGGTGAATCCCATCCAGGAATTTTTTATGGAACCTCAGATGTATCTGCCAAACTATAAAGTACTATTCAGAAATAAATACGAGCTGGATTTCTAACAAAGATATCATTGTTTGTGTCATATCTATTTAATCTGATGTCAATGCAGTAAAGGGACAATTCAGAATGACAGCAAAGGCAGAGAGTGTGTTGTTTTCCTGCAGCTCCCGTTATCTCTCCCGGCTCAGCCGCGCTTTCTGTGTAAAACTGTGTACAGATGCATTGGGGAAAAAAAAGCACAGCGAGTCCTCACATGACTCTGACAGTGTTTTGATGACATGAGCGGCCAATCTGTTCTAATGAAAAGCATGTTATCTTGCAGGCAGGCACGTCAGGACACAATGTTGACAAATGCATCATAGGCACGGAGATCCCCGGGCAGCAGACGTCTTAAAGAGCAGCGCAAATTAAATGAAACAAAACAGGAAGGAAGCAAAACAGATGGGAGGCTTTCTAGGGAAAGGAAGTTTGTCTATGAAGCCATTCAGAAAGTGAGAAGGCGGCACTTCTGCTGAGATCACAGAGAAATGAAAGGAAAAGCTAGAAGTGGTTAGTGACATGCATGGATCAGAACCTTTAAAATTTAATATGTTAGTGGTTTTTGAGACTGTGCAAAATGCTGGGCATGCATTGCAAAATGCTTCCAAATGGGGCCTAAGGCAAATAAAGAATTAATATCAATACTGCTAAAAGAATGCTGGCCAGTGCTGAGCACTTTTCCAGCCTCCAATTTTCCTCTTTGCCCAACTCCACCCGTTAAACTACTCCTAAAAGCTCGAAAGTTTTACTTTATTAATTCCTGTGAGAAAATATGCAGTCAGCTTTTTACCACTTAGGTAACAGCCAAGGCAGTGGAAGGTGCTCAAGGTTGGACTCTAATGTGGATGTCTGTTAAAGTCAGATAAAGGGAGGAGAGCCAGTCACAGTGAGAACATGAAAACTCCACCCAAAATCGGCTGCTATAGCTATTAAAGCTCCCTTATACAGTAACAAATAACCAAAAGAATAAACATCTATTAATCAATGCCTCTAAAATCTAAGAGATTAGATTAAAAAAAAAATAATAACAGGTGAATCTTTATTATGTTGAAATCTTCAAATTTATAGTGTTACATTAGTTTCTTTGTGGGGAAAAAGCATATATGCATATATTAGATCTAAACATCAATGACAAACCCTTTGTCCTTTCTTGCCTGTATCTGAGCTGACCAAGCACACATTTTCCCCCTAAAAATTGCAAAGTAAATCCCCTTTAATTTGATATGATAACCTCTGAGAAAAATGTGAGAATCTAATTCTACTTGAAGATTATTTGGAATAATAATAATAATAATAATGTGCTCAACATGGAGTTACTGTTACTGTAAAAATAATTTAAAAAAGGAAATGCAGCACAGAATAGAAAACAAAACTTGGTGATGTTGCAATTGTAGCACTTCGGTGAATCAACTGAAATCTAACCACAAACTGTCAATAAGCAGGCGTTAACAGCCAGTCGCTTATTGGACGGCAGGCAGGTTTGTTAATCCTTGCTCTACAGTGACAGGCTGCCTTAAAAAAAATCTACTGTCTCTCAAGCTACTCAGAATTTCGGTATGGAACTTTTCGTTCTCTTTCATTATCTTGTGTTTATCTGTTCCCTTTTCATCCTTTAAAACACACTGTTTCATGAGACCCAGAGTATGTTGGAACCAATTCCACACTACACTTTGTCGAGATGCAACCCAGGTGGGTCTGCTTGACCAAAGGGAAGGAAATGAGCATCATCTAGAGTTATGGCAGATATTAATGAGAAAAGAAAAGAAATAAAAAAGTTAACACCAAGTCAGGATGGGAGCATGCAACGGAAACCTTGCCAGCACCATCAGGAATTAAACTAGTTAATAACACAATAGCTTTTTTTACGGGGGTTAATAATCTGAAAAGCTAAAACCAGTACTCTCCCAGGAAAGATGTAAACGGAACAACAAAGCCAACGATAATTGCACCACACAAAAAAGATATGGACAAAAAGTATGAGCGCCCAAAAGCCACCAGAGTCTATATAGAAAAGGCAATACAGGCGACAAGCATTAGGCTACAATGTCTACGTGTACACAAAACAAAGCTTTTAAAGCCAATATTAGCTCACTTTTTTATCAAACTAATAAGGTGAATGTCCATCCACCATAACTTCAAAGAGAGCGTGCCCACAGAAAAGAAGATGGATGAAAAAACAAAGAGAAAGAGGGAGCATAGGTCGGGCGGAGTTACAGAGTTTGGCATGCTGTAGTATACATACCCTGCTTGGCTACAATCTCGATAGGGCAGGACAGAAAATACACTATAGAAGGATCTTCTGCCACTGATAAGGACTATCCTATGAAAACAGAAACAAGCTAATCAACATCTATCTGATGAGATCCACAGGTAAAAGTTGGAGAGAGTTTACAGTTCAAAACTTAGAATGAAGAGAGTGGACTGAAAGTGTGTTTTGGGTTTTGCAGAGTTGCAGATATTGTCAGTGGCTTGAGGGCAACGATGATGGATTTTTTAAAACAATATCCCACTTTAACAGTTAACATGACACGATTAAAAAACATAAACAAATAGAATTGCTCTGTACTTTTTTATGAAGCATTGATGGTAGAATGGCTCTGACCAAAGGTAACAAAACACAAAACTATTACTAAAGTATTTCCTCCAACTGGCCAAACTAAAAGACATTAAACGACTTTCCCAAAATAACTATCACGTTCAGCTAAAGAACAAAAAAATTAATCTAGTCTTAAAGAACTGATTTTTGTATGCATTATTTGAGAAAAACTAAATGGGAAGAAACAGATTTACAAATGTCTTCTTACTTAAAATATTTCACTAAAATCTGAACTGACCCTTAAGGAGTTGCTAAACTAATAGACAAGATCCCCCTTTGCATGTCAACCACATGCTGAATAACAGAACTGGGGAACTTTCCCAGCAACTATTAGGCAAGGAGCAGGGTTCACTCTGGGTGATTATCCGGTCCAAATATCCGATACAACTTAAAAAAAAAAAAACACAGTATAACTATTGTACTAGAAAAAAATAGCAATGGGGGGCCTGCCGCTGGCAGTGGCCCCCCTATTTAACCATAACACAACCGCATAACACACGTCACCACGAATGGATTAAACTTTTTTTCTTTCTAAAGAGAACGTTTTCAGAGCCATCTTTTAAATGAGATGCATTACAGAGACTCTCACATGCCGTAATGAGCAATAATTTGTTTGAAGTGAGGGATTTGTGTGCTGCACACATGCCAGTGTAAACTGTGACACAACGATCTGTGATTCAGCATTGAGCAGTGAGACTGATTCTTGGTGCGGTTACAAAATTTCCTCTGTGATAAAAAAAAAAAAAAGGTATCAGATGATGATAATACCATGGAAACAGAGAGGGTTTTTGAAATACATTTCTCCAAACCTCCGGATGGCACAACTGGTCAGAGACGCTGGCCTGTAATGTGAGAAACATTCAAACTGCTCCTCATTGACTGTGGCAACCTGCCATTACTCTCTGAGGAGTTGTATTGACTAAAGGCCCGGGCTGTTTGCCTTCATACCTTCCATTGCGCATATCGTGTTGCCTCATGTTCTTAATGAAGTGGATCTTCTTAAAGCTCTTTGGTCGGGGTGAACCTGAAAGGGTTCGGCATCTAAAAAGGCAAAACAAGCAGAAAATTATCGGGAGGTTAATCAAAGAGATCTCAAAATGAATCTTAAACAAGTAAACGTTTAACATTACAATCGATATGCGGCTGTAGTGCTATACCTGCGGAGAGGAGCATTTTCCTCAATGTCCTCCAGAGTTTCAAGAGAAGAACGCTGAGAGATGAGCCTTCGTCTGAGAGGACAGAGATCAAAAACATCATGGTTATGTGAAGAAAATCACATTAAAAACAATCTACAACAGCAGCTGTCAATGTAACCCTTTCAGGTTTGAAAAAGGTTTCTAAAGGCACCCCAATAACTAGAATGTAAGAAGGATATTTCTCATTTTATAATCAATATTTATTAATATAATCAATATATAATTAACATTTCATTGAATGCAAAACATTAAACCCATTAGTGAATAGATGAACTTTCCACCTTTCCACCACTGATTGTGATAAAATATTGAGACAAAACATTGGTTGGGACATTCTTCAGTTACCATGTAGAAATGTGTCATAAGATATGTATTCCCTATGGCACAACACTGCTGCCCACAGTCAGAAAAAGAGTTAAAGCGTATCGTTTCCTCAGTATGAAGACAAATGAAGGATCTATCATATAGGGACAGTTTCAAAGGGCAAAACACAGAAAGACAGCTACCCACGCTGCTGTCAGACTGACTGAGAGGAAGTGGAAAATATCAGTTTTCTGTCTTTGAACAAATCGGAAAATAAAACAGTTTTTTTGGAAAACAACAGAAGAAGATGATCATCAAACCTGAATCTACCTTCACATGATATGGAAGTTCAACTCTCAACTTCCCCAGCGCACATGCTGGAATACCATTCGGGAAATGGGATAAAATGGTCTGCTAAATAATGTAAGCAGTCAAATGTATGAGTAGATTACTGAGCTGGTTACCTAAGTGTATACACACTTAGGTAAAATAAAGACAGCATGGTTGCAGTGTGGCACTTGATGGTAAAGACATGCACCGGTTATTGTCCTCCATCCAGCCCCTGCTGAAAGTTTGAAGTTTGTAGCTGAAGGTTTTGGAACAATCTGTCCCGGGGTTAATACACAAACTGTCAGGACTGCTGTCCCTCAACGCAACAATGTGCCTGTGTGGTCAATGATCTCCTCGGGCTTGCGTAGATCACAGAGAATTTTTCAGGATCAGAGCTGCTAAGAGGATAACGAGCTGGCTTTGCAAGCACTTTGAGCCGCACATTTGGTCACAGATGGCCTTTATTTCACACTTTAGTGGCCGCCTCAACGGGCTAATTCTGCTGGACCTCTTTTTTTTTTTTTTTTTTTACAATCTGCTGCCAGTTTCAGAAAATAAACCCACATGTGACGGATAAGTCTGCCCGAGCTGTTCCAAAATGAGGTTATATTTGCAGGCTTAGCACCACAGTAATAATACAGGCCAACTCATTTGTCAACCTGGAAACACTTAAAATGGCAAAAATTAACACATTAGCGGTCAAATAATGAAGGCTGACACATTTCCCCCAAAGTTCTGTCATCCAGAAATAAATGCAAGTGACAAAGAATTACAATCTAGCAAGGCCAGTGAAAAGGGCAGATACGTTACTAATGTGCTTTTCCAGTAACTGAGATTTTTGTATTACTGTTTCAAGGAGAACACCACTGGAAAAACAGCCTCCACACGTCTTCACAGTCAAACGGCAGACAGTGGATTGTAAAGTCAAGATACTTGGTTAATAAATGACAGAGTATGAGAGGGGCGAATTAACAAAAAATGACTGTGCTTGAGGACTTCCCAGAGTTTAAAACAACACAAGCAGAGTAAAGGTTGTATCCCAGAGAAGATGAGGAGCAGTAAGTGTTTGTAGGAGGATCCAGAACACTCCGGCTCATGGTCGGCATGGCCTATCATGGACCTAATGATCACGAGCAAGAGTGAAGAGCACCCAGCTCTCAGAATGAGCCACGGCCAGTGAAATAATTTTGTCTAAATAAATAGCATGATTGGAGTAATTAGCTGCTGACGTAAACTGGGACTCTGCTGGACTGAGCTCAGAGGGTCATAATAAAATGGCCCGGGCTGACCTCTGTCTGAGGCTCAGAGGAAAGGGATCATGTGAGTTATGACCTGCCTTTAATCATCCTCCTTCTGAGACACCAGTGAGAGGTGGGCTGGAGGGATAAGGATCTAGGTCTGTGACTGCTGCTCTCCTCACACACTCTGGCTGTCCTCCGTCTTTTCTGCCAATATATCCCTTTGTTTATTATATTACTTAATCCTGCAAGAAGCCACTGGAACATTTTTTCTTTTGAAATCATTATTACCCAGCTGTTCTTTTCTCTTCTGTTCCATGAAGCGGGTTGATTTTTTTTTTTTTAAGTCAGCTTTTTTTTTTTGGATCCCTACTGATAGCGTTATTTCACTTTGACCTCCTTTATCCGTCTTTTCCTGCCGCGGCCACTAATGACTTTACATTTCTCAGCAGGAAATTATCTCGTGTCTGCTGGATGTTTAAAGTACTTTTTGTCTATTTTTCTTTTAAATCTTTTTGTGCTGCCTCTAAAAGGCCCTCAAAGTTACTAAATGCTGACATTAAAGACGATTAAAGGAGAAATTGTTAGCTGTAATCGCTATTGTTGTCTACAGTCATTTGCATCATTACACAACCAAAGCTAAATCCACTCCTCAGGAATTCAGTCTCAACTTAAGCAAAACTATGAGAAACTGACAGATGGCATTTCTCAGAGGTATTCTTTTCGGGCAGAAATGAACACGTTTTGAAATATTTTGGAATTTTCCGTCATGCAAGGCCAACACAATACAGTGCTAGTGAATTACTAAATAATGTATGAAACATGCACCAAGGGGTTGCATAATGTCCACTTCTTGCATGCTATTTTCAGTAAGGGACATCCTGGAAACAAACACACACACACAAACAGTAGATCAAAAAGAAGAATTGAAAGGAGAACGATCATCCCACTAGTACACAACTGTTTCCAGTTGTGTGTGCGTGTGCATGTGAGGACTTTGATCGAGCCTTTGTTGATGAACAGCACCAGAACGTGCCTTCAGCGCTAAAAGATGTACGAAATCCTGGAAACAAAAACAAGGAGCGGGCCACTCATTCACTTCAGACTGAACTGGACCGGTCCGTGTCCGTCCGGTGGGGCATTAACCAGCCCCGGTCGGACGCCTTACTGCCGGGGCTCCGTCCAGCACTGGCCGGAGTCAGATGTCTGTCAATGAGTATTTTCCATCCTGTTTACAAAGAATTTCTGCAACAAAATTCAATAGAAAACTTTGAAAAGGCCAATGGTGATCCTAACCCAGCGGTGCAGGGAAGAGAAGCTATAAAAGTGAGGAGGCCCATTTAAATGAGGAGAGATTGGTCAGCCTCACACGTCCGACCTGTTGGCAGCTGGCCACAGGACACAGGCCTCCATTTCTGCTGCAGGGTTACACAGTCAATCAGTGGAAGTAAATATCCCGGCTTCCTCTGCACAAACACAACCCCGGTAGATGGAAATGTGATTATTTTGATTTTTTCTTTTTGAAAGAAAAGAGGGGGGGGGAGAAAAAGCTGAGCTTCTCTGATCCTCTGAGTCACAAAGGCAGCAAATGGGACGGATCAGCATATTTGGAAATAAATGAGCGCAAAGGAAGATAAAGACACCCTCTTGTGTGTTACAAGAGCAATGAATGACAACAATAATAAGCGTGCAGCGGGAGAATCACAACAAGTAATTTAGTGAGGATTTAAAACTGGGGAGGAAAGTGAAGAGTTAGCCAGAGGTTGGACCTCACAGTCAGCTCCTGTGGGCTTTTCGGGCCATTTGTTGACAGCTGAGACACTGAAGGTCTCTGTGAAGGAAAATGAAGCATTCTTATATAATCCTGTAATTATGCCAACCATGACATCATCGCGCAACAATCCGCCTTGTATGGGATCCAATGGCACAGAACGCCAGGAGATCACTCTGATGGCATTTATTCCCTTTTTACTTGCATGTTTTTGATGTTTTCCTCCTGACAACAACAACAAAAATACTGTGAATTCTTTCCAGGCTATCATATCTTGATGACAGCTCGGCTGAAAGAGGATGCGAGAAGCCGCAGCCTGACTGCGATTTCAGGTGAAAATTAAAAACCCTTTTACACCTCAGGCTCACAAAAGGCAGATGGCGATAGGTGCCTCATGTTTCAGGCACGGCTCTCGATCGTGCCGAATCTACGACGCACGAACGATCAGGGCTGGAATGAAAAAACGGAGCGCCCAGCGATCCGTCGAATCTGCATATTTCCAACCCCCCGAAGAGGCTTTGGCCTCGGGGAGCGTGTTCTGGCGGCACATCAGAGGCTCCGCGACTTCCTGAATGGAAGCGGGACCCAGGGCCAAAAAGTCTGAGGGGAGAGCGTGTCTCCGATTCCCCCCGAGAGAGGAAGCGGAGGACAGAAAACATAGAGCGCAGAGCCAGTTGCTGCCTCTCAGAAAAACCCTGGGCATCCTGCCTCCCCCTTAGCCAGGGACCTCTGGACACGTCTCCACCAGCTGCCCTCCGAAAACAAACCGGCCACTGTGTGAGGAGCGATTGTCCGTCCGCACGCCCTCCCATCATCAGGTTACTTATTTTTCTCAGTTTTAGAACTGGTTTTGCGTGGACGTTCTCCATGCAGGAGGTCAGCAGCGTCACGCTGTAGGCATAGAATGAGAAGCAGAACCCCACAGAAGCCAGACCTGCACCATCGATTCTGTGAAGAATCTCTGGTTACTCAATAACGGAAAAAAAACCCCATCATTATTATTTTTTAACACATTCACTTGCAGAATTTATTGTTTCTTGTGTTATAACACAAGATACATGTTTTTACAGGACAGAGTAATCATTGTTGGAGGACACTTTTTTTATTGAAATGAACTTCAATGAATTCCAAGACTCATTTAATGCTAAGTACAAAGATTTTCAGAGAGTTGAACTTTTGATTCTTTTCCCAGGTTCTTAAGAGTTTCTAGAGCTTTAGAAGCTCTGGCTTACTATGTTCCCAAAGTTTTCCAAGCGTGTCTCTCGATGAAACTGTTTATTTCTGAAGGAACAGGCAACCACATTCAACTGAATTGTGAAACATTGCAAGATGTTATTTTACTTGCACTCGTTTGAGTCTGCAAAATTCTTGAGAGCCAATATATCGGCTTCGTGTTGAGGAAGATTTTGCTCATTCTTTGCACGAGTTGTCAGAATCTGTAGGCTGCTCTGTGCAATATATTTTTGGCCGAGAAGGGGAATTGGATGTTTGATGAGCAACTAACCAAGATGGAGAGATTCCTGAAGAAATCTAGCCAACGGAGGATAGAGATGGAAGATAGAGAGGATAGCATAGAGAGGATAGAGAGGGCCTATCTGTACGAAGGATTTGAATTGAAAACAGACAGCAGGCAACCATGAGAAGACCCTCAAAACTCTCTTTGCAGCTCTAATCTGAAGATGAACTAAACAAAAAGCGCAAATGAAAGGCAGCTCCGTGAGACACAACCCATTGTTGCATTCTGAGTTCAACAGGGGTGTAGAGTTACTGGATATTTATGTCATTTAGAGAAGGAGAAAAGTCTCTGTGTTGCATTCACTAAAAGATTATTTAAGGTTAAATTACATTTGGAAAAATGGACCCTGAAAACCAAACTCTTTCTGTCAAATCAACAGATGAGAGAGTCCTGAGGTTACAGCCACCTGTATGAAGCACGGCTGAACTTTTCCCCTCCTGCTGAGTAATGTTGAGCTCAAGCCAACTGTGTTGTTTGGAACCGAAAGCAACTTTTACAAGGAGCTGACGGAAAAAAACACTTACAGGGAAACAGTACCATTCAGCTGGGCCTCTTAAAGACCCACTGCAGTTCATTCTAAAGCTTATCTTTATGTATTTTATGTCTTAATTGATGGTCAAAGTGTGGAATGCTTTAGAGGACTCTGCTAATGTCCAAAAGTTTTCACTGCCTTTGTCCCACATGCACAATGGTTTTATGTTTTTTTCTGCGGAACAACTTCATTCACTCTTTTATTTCTTCTCCAATGCATATTTGCAGAGGCCCACTTTTTTGTTGTTTTTCTGGTTTGGTATTCAAGCGTGAAATGACCACAGACAAAAAACTGCCCAGTTCTGTGCAGAAACCTGTACAGACTTGACCCTGGCACGGTGGTGCTTTTACTGCCGTGCATACCGACGTGCACGTCCCCCCCCCCCCTATTGTTTGCACGGTTACCTTGACCTCTGCTGCTCTATCTGTGCGCCCTCCAGGTAGCTGGAGGGGGAGAACTGCCTGGAGTAAGGGGCGGGTAGGACTCCCTGAGTGTAGGTCTGCAGCCTCCCTCTGGTCGCCACCGGCACGGCGGAGAAAGGCGAGGAGTTGAACGTCGGGGGCAGGAAAGCGTCGCCCTCCGCGTCCTGGACCGGGGCCGGAGCCGGACCAAGACCCGGACCGGTCCCCAAACTGGTCCGGCTGCCCGCCAGGAGAGCCTGGTTGGCGTAAGCCAGCGCCTGGGCGGCCGTGGTGGCCGCGGTGGGCGCAGTGGGCACCGTGGCCGTGCGCTCCGGAGCCACCGGGCTGTGTCTGGTAGTCCGCGCTTCCGGCGAGTTCTCCCCCTCGCTCCGATGGTCCGCATCGTCGTCCTGCACGGGCCGCCCGTCCAGGGAAATGTTGCTGAGGAAGGACAGCGCCGCTTGCCTCCTCCGCGGGTCGATGCGTTTCCGCGTCAGCTCGATCTGAAGCGTGGCCGTGGATGCGTTGCTGCTCGTGGCAGCCGCCATGGTCCACTCCCCGAGAGATCCGAGTCCTCTCACCCCCTCTCTCCCTCTCTCTCTCTCTTTCTCTACCCCCCCCCACCCCCTTTGCCTTACCACGGGGACATTAATACTGGAGCAGGACGTGCTTGTGTTGGTGAACGGACGGTGGCGGCCGTCTTTTTAAGGACACGCGTTTAACTGGGTGAAAACAGGGAGGTCACGTGTGCGCGGTATTGTGGCAGCACAGGGAAAAATTTGGACCAATGGGCTACCAGGACTTCTTTTTTTTTTTCATACCTTTTTCCTGACTGCCGAAGCCTCCACTCCCCCCCCCCCCAACAAAGCATGGCAGAATTACATAAACGAGACATCTCTGGGTGGAGACTTTAAAACTCCTGGAGGCCGTTGGCAACTTTTGGTCTGTTTGCCATCAGTGATTTTGAGTCACGCCAACACGAAAATGCTCAGCGCTGCGTAAGAACTTTCAGTAGTTCTTTCCTGATTAGAAACCCTGCTCATAAAGAGTGAATGGGGCTGCATCGTGCCTCCTTTGTGCAGGTGCGTGTCACCAAAGAGCCCCGCGAGGACCAGGCCCGGTTCTGTTAGGTGTAGGAAAATAAGTAATCTCCTGAAATGTGTGGGTCCACATCTCTGGAGCAACTACGCCATCTGCCTGTCTTAACACGCGTGCGTTACATGCGCAGTTTTTGGCTGAAACCCCCCCCATACACGTGCCACCTAGTGGTTATTTACTGGCAGCAGAGGAGCTCTGCAGAGGCGGAGCTTGGAAAGGGTGAAGTTTTGGTCATTCAAATGAAGGTGTAAGGCATCATTTCCAGTTAAGCCCACCTCCCCTAAATAAATATGGGAATGTGGGAATAATGTGAAAACAGCGAGCCTCACCTTATTCTTGATTCAAAACACAACCACTGCTTCTATAAAGTCATACTTTATGGATCAAAACATTCTCCTGTCAGTAAGTTTACAGTGTCTTTATGAAAGCACATGTCAGCGGAGTATTTTGATGCAATTCAGCCAGCCTTGATTTAATTTTTAGGTGCACAGTTTGTTACTTTCACCTTTTTGCCACACTTTGAGTGTTGTGTGTTGTTTTAAGGGGGAAAAAACTTAATGTCAACAGAATCTAACTAAATTATGCCTGACATCTTGTCAATACTGTGACGAAAAAACTGAAACGTGTTAAATTAATATAAAATATTCTAAAATTCACCGTCCAGTTTGAATCCCTGTGGACATTTCTGTGTGGACTTTGCATGTTCACCCCTGTGTGTGCCTGGGTTCTGTCCGGGTGCTCCGACTTGCACCCACCATCCCAAAAGAAAATGCATGTTGGGTTAATCATTATCATCCCATAGGAGTGAATGTGAGCGTGTGTAGTTGTTTGGCTGTGTCACACTATGATGGACTGGCCGAGGTGTACCCCATCTCTCACTGGGATAGGCTCCCCTTCACTACCCTACTGGGATAGCCAGGCTTACAAATGGATGGTCATTCTAAACTTAAATGTTAGGATAATGAAATGGGGAATGCTCAGTGCCACTAGAGGTCTCTGTTGTTTCATATGTTTGCAGTATTACAGTCCAAGGACACAGTACCTTTCACTGCCCACTGGTTGTGACTGCCTCCTAGTTCTAAACTGTAGCAGCCTATCCAGGTTGCAGGTACACCGATGAATTATTCTGGTGCTTTAGTTCTGTTAGTTACTCAATCTGTGAGGTCATGGTGATGACATACAGATGCAGGTGTTTTTTTGTGCTATAAAGGATTTAATCAGTGTGCCGATTGTGAACATTTTAAACATAAAGGAAAAATCTAAACTGATTTTAGAGGTATGACTGTAATGAGAATGTGTTCAGAGACTAAAAAAAAGAAAGTTGTGTACCACGGTATACCTTCATTTAACATTTCGCTCCTGTTAAAAGCACTACCCAGCAGATCTGCGCTCTGATGCCTTTCTTTAGACGGTCCCGGCAACAATAAAGAGTAGGACCTGCGGCTTTTGTGGCCCCAGTTAATCTGAGAAGCCCATCAGCTGTGCAGCGCCACCGCAAAGACTCCTGCCCTCAGTGAGAAACATTGGACTTCCTGTGTTTGTGTGAAGTTTCCTACTCATGAAGTACTTCAGCAACTCATTGTGAGGCTTCGTGCACATGACTCTCTATTACTTTCACGATGATTAAAGACAAAAATGCCTGTGTAGGAGAAGTAGAAACACAATGCAGCCGATTCTTAATGGATGTTGAGCTGTACAGTGGTGGAATAATCATAACCCAAGGAGAGCTTTCAAAGAAAAATGTGCTTAAGGTGAGAGGATACAAAGTGGAAGGAAGAGGGCAAAGATCATAGACAACAATGGGAAAATACAATTTTGTCATCGAGATATTTATTGCTTAATCAGAATCATGGAACTTAGCTTTCGCTCCTTGTCAGTGATGTATAGTTTGTGGACATCCCATGCCTGGGAAAGGTTTCACCTTTTTGTTTTATTTTATAACAACATTTGAGGCTTTGCAGAGTAAAGCAATTAAAATTCTTGCCAAGATATTTCAGGGGTGCTAATGTTGCTGCTGGCTTTAGTTAGCCTTGCCGGGACACATTCATGACATTCATACATCACACACACTCAAACACACACAGGGGAAGAAAAACATGACAGGATCACCTACAGCAACGGGTGCACCGAAGCAAAAGGGGGGGAAAAAGAAACAAAAGAACGTGCTTCTCCTTCTGAAAAGACAGAGACACAGTCCTGTGTTTTGTTATGATGTGACTTCTGACTCATAATTCACCCGATTCCCCTCTGCAGATCAAATCTGTCAACATTAACAACTGTGATCAGATTAGGTGTGTGGTGATAAAGGATTTAGATAAGAGTGAGTGTGTGAGGCCAGAACAGAGCTCTCAAACAGGGACAGCCCTTCTTAATGGGACTGGGGACTTATCAGAGGAATCTAAAGAGCTCCCTGAAGTTCACCTCAGTTTAACTGCACGCTTTCAGATGACATATATATATATATAGCTCAGTGATGGACTGAGGAGTGAAGCCCATTCACTTTCAAAAGAAGGAGAATCACGGAGACTGAGTTTGGAGACATCCATCCATCCATCCATCCATCCATCCATCCATCCATCCATCTATCGTCTACACTGCTTATTCCTAGTGGAGTGATGGGGTGGGAGGGTGGCTGGAATTCATCCCAGCTAAAACTAGGGTCGGGGCTGGGTACACCCTGGACAGCCATATTAATCATGTTAACCAAAATATTGCATTATTCCTTGAAGGACCATTCTGGAATTATTTATGTCAGTAGCTACTGTATGTCAGAATCTTGTGTTGCAGACTGGCTATTGGTGCAGGAAGCAGACTGATGTTTATCCTGGTTGAGTGCTAAGGTTCTGTGGTCAAGAGGGCAGGACTGTTTGAAGTCGGGTACGCGGCGGCAGAAGATGGGGATAGGTGGAGGCATCTGCACACCCCCCCCCCACCACCACCACCCCTGACATTCAGCACATGCCATCATTTCGTTGATCTATTGAGATGACTTCGCCAACACTTTCAGCTGAATCTGGCCAAGTCCATCAAAGGATTTATCACTTTGCTAGATTAAAGGAGGCTGAGGCGTCTGCCAAACAAAGGCTAACTCTGAGGGTCAGCTCGAGTCCCAAAATGAGAGATTTAAACTGATCCAACCTTCAGATTCTTGTAAGACCCAAAGAAGACATTGCATCATCTGGAACATGTGGTCTAAATTCATTTAGCTGTTGGCTAGCTGATCCTTTCAATATTGTCCACCATAGCAGTCTCTGCAAGCATACATATTTGCAAATGCGCAGCAATGTCATTTAACACTATAAACACATTAGTACATACTTTCTGCCAGACTCTGAGGCAGGCAGGGTTATTCATAACCTCCTTTATATTTTTGACATGTTCCTGGCATCTTTCAGGATTCCAAAGTAATGATGAAATCGCCTTTTGAGAACATTAAGGTCAGTTATTTTTTCCTGTTTGCCTTTTAAATTGTAAGCAGATATCTACAGTTAATCATGTACACGAAAATCCAAACAACTTACCCTTTTTTTCACCCACAAACTCTTGTCACAGCCAGAGACGTGTTCCTGTTGCTTTGACCTCTGCACTCCTTCCTATTAGCCACGTTGTAATGTTTTTGGTCAAGGAATGTAGGCATGGTGTCACTGTTGCGCTTTTTGCAGGATTGTATTAAAAAATCCGAGGGGCAGAAACAATGCGTGTATCATTTTATGTCAAACGGTTTTCCTCGTTTTCCTCGTTTGCACCCAAAGTCACACTCTTTTTTCACAATTTCCTTTTTTTTTTCTGGTACAAGAGTTTGCCCCTTTTTTGAGAATTAGTCAGTGTTTTTGCAAACATGCTTTGTTGTTCTTGGTCTGTTTCACAGTGAAAACACTCATTTATATTCATTTAGAATTTTGAGAGGGTGAGAAACAAAGTGGTGGCAAGATACAATCAGGCTCTGGAGCTGGAGATGGCAAGGGAAGTGTAAGAGTCAAACAAGCCAAGCCTCGAACTTGGGCAAGAAAGCTTTAAATCAGAGAAAAACATTCTCAGGAATGTAACTTCACATACCTTGCAGTTAATTTCACATGGGAATATTTGTCTCACTTATAAAATCAGTGCTTGAGAGTGTCTGGTGATGTTAATGGAGGAGTGTGACAAAGTAGAGAAATGACTTTTATTTGAATTCTTCTGTTCTTCTAAAGCAGTTCATCTGCAACAACCGTAAAGTAGAGGAAAAATGTGACCTGCGCTGACTTCTTTACACCTCATCATTATCGAACCAAACGGTGCTTCTTTGTCAGGCAACATTGTTTAGCCGTAATCTACTTTATAGATAGAACCGAGCAATTTCTGCAAACATCTTAATACTGCTTTAAAAAATGGGAATTCTTGACTTTGCATGGATCCAATGAATAAACTTAACAATCCATATTGTGCATGGGTGCGAGTGTTTGTGTCTGTTGGCCTGAGTGCACACGCCTTTTTGCGTATGCACATATCAGTGTTAACACAGTGTTGCTAC